TAGCACCTTTGTTGCATTCTCTAGTTCAGAAGCACTCAAAAAACTTTCTTTTCTTAATGGTGGATTGGTTCTACAGTTGTTTGCAAACCTTAAACACCACGCAGTAGTTCTAATCAATTTGCTGAATGACGAATACCTTTTAATGAATTCGTTCTCAATGGAATTTTCACCTGTGACTGTTGAGTTCACTACAGCTCCCCTTTGAAGTTCAAGCTCTTCATGATCCTTGAAATCTCTTACTGATTCTGCAAGTTTAGGCCACGAGTCGATGCTCTGTAATAGCCACTTAGGTCCATGCCACCACACGTCACTATTTCGTAGTTCAGACAACGTTATTCCTTTCGTGGAATTTGTCTTTGTTCTTCTGGTCAGCATATCAGCCGGATTTTCATCTCCAGGGCAATAATTCCAGGACTCAGGTGATGTTTTCTCTTGTATTTCCATTACTCGATGTTGGATGAATGGCTTCCATTTATTTAAATCGCCCTTTATCCGATGTAACGTAACAGAAGAAGTCTGACCAAAAATATACATTCATCTGGAAGTCTCTTTTCTCTAACTGTTCTTTCACATTTCGAGGCTAATCTTGCTCCGATGAGCGCCCTTCAGCTCTAATCTTGGAAGGGACAGCTTCTTCAGTGGAGCTACTCTGGTTTTGGAAATGACAAAACTATTTCCTATTTCACTGTCCGTCATGATGTATCGCAGGTATATCACAGCTCCATATGCCTTCTGACTTGCGTCGGTAAAGCAATGCATTTGAATAGCTCTCAATTCAGACTTGTTAGTCTTTCGGAAGTAATGTCGTGGAATGTTTACATCCTGAATCGCTGACAGTTCATTAATCCATTTTTTCATTCTGTTTTCAAAGTCTAATGGTAACGGATCATCCCAATCTACTCCAAGTTGCCAAATTTCCTGCATTAGTATTTTTGCCCTAATAGTGAATGGACTTATAAATCCAATGGGATCGTAAAGCTTTCCAATGGTTTTAAGAACTTCTCTTTTGTCATTAACTTTGTTTTCCCTTGATTAGTTAGATTCTGCGATTCTATCTTCAGAAGGTCTTCCTTGTAATTCCATTTATATCCCAATACCTTCTGTTCCAGAACTTTCTGGATTTCACCATTTTCGTATTCGTCAAAAACTTCCTGCAGATTCCCACAATTTGTTTTCCACTTTCGCATGTTGAAACCAGCAGCCTTCAAAATATATTTAATATCTCCATATATGAGTTGGTTTCATTTTCGTCTTCATCCCCACCTATTAAATCGTCTACGTATAAACGTTCGTTCAATAGTTTAACTGCTTTCTGATTTGTTTCTTTAAAGGTGTTTATGTGATGTTTGATCATAGCGGCAAGCAAAAATAGGCTGGATGTAGCTCCAAACAAAACGCGAGTCATCCTAAGTATTTTCGTGTTAGGTTTCCCATCCTTATCTGTAAGGTTATTTGCCCACAAAAATCTTACAGCATCTCTATCTTCAGGTGACAGAAAAATCTGAAGAAAGGCTTGTTCGATGTCGGCAGTAAATGCTATGCTATGTGTGCGAAATTGTATTAATATCTCTAACAATGGTGGATTTAAATTAGGACTGGAATAGAGACAATCGTTTAAAGAGTATTCATTTTTCGAATGGCTGGATGCATCAAATACAACTCTCATGGGTTTATCAGTTCGAATAACTGGCTGGTGAGGCATGTAATAAATTCTTCCTGTTTCTTCAGAACTTGGATCAATTTCCTCAGCTATACCCTTTTTAAATGCTGTTCTATAACTGAGTGATACTGCTGATGAAGCAGTGGATCATTTCTCAACCTTTTAACCAGTTTATTAAAGCGAACTTCTGCATTTACGTAATTCGTTTTTAATTCAGGGAGTTTAACCTCATATCACGTTTCTTTAAATTTGATAGTTCTGTTAAAATTCTCTAAAATGTCATTGTCTATTTTACTAATTTCCTTCCCTAGTTCTATTCCCAATGTTTCCAATTCCCAAAACTGCTTTAACTATTATTGTTGATGACAAATTGAGACCAATTTGTCATCAACAATAATGTCCATGTTTAACAATTTACTGTTCGAATCAGTACGGCCTTGAAGGCACCATCCAAATATTGTTTCGGAAGCTGTAAGTTTATTTTTAAAACGTTTAAGTCTACCAGTTATTACTTCATGATAGTAATCTGCTCCGATCAAAACAGCAATATTTTTATCACTGAATTGACAAGAATCAGCTAATTGTAATCCTATTAACTCTTTGTTAATTTTGGAAACTGGGATATCAGGGAAAGGCAAATTAGTTGCACATATTTGGTTAGTTTCTAAAGCTTCAATTTCTATATTTAGAGATGGTTCACTTCTGTTTGACTTTAACAACATTGTAAGTTTGTTCTGTTGCCTGGTTAACCCCAAAGGCAAATACGGACAAAGTCTCCTTTCGAATAACAGGTAATTTACACTTCTCTGAAATGTCTCGAATTATAAAACTTCTCATCGATCCATTGTCTAATAGAATACGAACTGGTTCTAAATTATCCTTCTCAGAAAATGGACGTATCATCACAGTACACGTTTGTAGCAATGCACTGTGGAAAGTTTCGGTTTTTAATTGGACTAATTTGAACATCTTCTTTATTGGATGGAATTGTCGACACGACCTTGTTTTTCTCCGATTTGGTTTCGGGTTCCGATTTGGTATCTAAACAAATAGACCTATTGTGTTTTTTATTACATATTTCGCACATTTTTTTCTTTCCTTACACTGCTTAATTTTATGCTGAGATTTTAGACACAAAAAAACATCGGGCTTGAGATTTTAAAATATTTCTTTTCTCCTCCACGGTTTTAATTTCGCAGCGCTCCGAATCGTGTAGTTTGTCACAACATATGCATTTACTGCTAGCGACTGGAGCAACATATTCATACGTTTTAGGCGAACTTTTTTCAAACTGTTTACTGCACTTGTTTACATTATCGTGAGCAGAGTGGAGACGATCGTTTGATTTATGCCTCCAGTTATGAATCATTCCCACTCGGTGTTTTGTTTTTGTTTCTCTACTTTCATTTAACTGCGTAGCTCTTTCGCGGCTTTCTATTTCTTTACGAATAAATTCCATTAATTCGTTAACGTTTCATGTTTGGTCACTGTTTGTACTGCGACTGTATTCTAATGCTATCTCTGATGGAATTAATTTTAACAATATTGGGCAAAGTAAACTACCGTAAGTTTCTGATACAACGTTCATTGACTTTAAGCATCTAATTTGAGTTTCACACTGATCATATAAATTCCTAAGATTTTCTATATCCCTTACATTTCTAACAGGGGAAAGATTTAACAGTTTATTCATGTGAGCATTTATTACCAAATCTTTTCTCCCAAACCTGCTAGTTAACAATTCTATAGCTGAATCGTAGTTCTCATTTGTAAGCGAGAGTCCGGAAACGGCATTATAAGCTACCCCACCTAGTAATGACTTTAAGTAACTGAACTTATTTACTTTCGATAATGAGTCATTGTTATGGATAGCTGCCTCGAATTGACTCCAAAATTCCTGCCAATTGCTAGACTCACCAAAAAATTTAGTGATAGTCCATTTTGGAAGGCGAATAATTTTATTATTTTCAAGTTTGGAAGCTATAGCGGTTTCATTAGGATCCGAATTTTCGAGTTTGTGTAATTCCCTCAATTTTTTCCTTGCTCTAAATTGCCACAGTTGGATTTTTTCTTCATATTCTAGAGCGGATGAAACTTCAAGTTCAAATTTATCCTCTGGGACCTTCAAATCCTGTTCTATTTGAGTGTTTAAATCACTCAGAGTTTTTGCCTTTTCGTTTAATATGTCTAAAGTTTCTTCTATTACACTTATACTAACGTCATCTTTGCTTAATTCTGTCTCAATTTTCTTTAGTACCTTGGACACTGCGGTCCTTAATACTTTGCGTTTCGATTTAAGCTTAGCGAAAGGATCTTCCATAATTACACTTTAAAACAGAAAACTTATCCTACTGTTTTTTTGCAGGCTTCGCACACTTCACTTCGCACACCGTTCTAATCCAGACTTACGAATCCATATTTTCGAATATTAACTGACTTCCCGGCCGATGCACCAAAAAATGTTTATGTACGCACTAATGTACACTATTCGAATCACGAATGTCGCCGTCTATGCATCTAACTATCTAACGACGTATATAAATGCCACATCTAAATTTCTGCAAGCGATGGTTCAGCTATAATTCTATGATCAAATACTCAATCTAGTTTTAAAAGGATTTATTAAATACTAAAATTAATCTAATCTAGAATCGAATCTAATGTTACATCTCAGGAGCAGCATTCTAGCTGCGTCATAATGAATCGAAAGTCAAGTTCTCACTGTTGCCATTCTGAGGCAGAGAAAAGTTTGTTTCTAATCAAACTGGAACATCGGCATAGTGAAAGTTTCTAGTCAAACCGGAACACTATCTAAAAAATAATCAACTAATTAAGCACTTAATCGCATACTACATCATTACTGAGATGAACATGTTTTACCAGCTTTCTTAGTTTCTAACCTTCTTATTTCCATTGTAAAATTCCATTCTGAAGAGAAAAGGTACATATAATCAATAATAATGAAGGAAGTTCGTAAAGAGAGTCACGGGCAATCTATATAAAAACCCACAAGGATTTCCTGGACAGATTTTTACCTGGATTTTCCAAATATGAGCTCCACGAGTGTTATAACTGAGGAGAAAAGTAGTTTTACAACAAAGTGAAAAGTAGTAATGATATCCAAAAACAGAAAATAAAGTTTGGGAACTATTTATATAGACCTTTCAAACTGGATATTTTAATACAATATTAATCACATACTGTAACTGCTAGATATGCTTATACTCAATTCAGCTTCAATTTACATGCTAAAGAAAACATGAAGTATAACATCATCATGTATCTCAATATAAAACTATAACACAAATGAAATGTACAAAATTAAAGCTTCATATAAAACCTGTTCTTAGCTGTCCATCTGCCTGAAGCACAACTCTAGAACGAAGATCATTCAAAACAAGTGTTTGATGAGTCTCTGCAATTCCTAATTCCCATGGCAGACCAGCACCTTTAATGCCAGTCCAACTACTTGCTCCTGTCCCTCCATCATGACCAGATATTGTAATATGTTCAGCTTTACCCTGCAAATTTAAAAAAAAAAAAAAAAAAAAGCTTTATTTTTCATTTCTAACAGTAATCTTTGAACATGCATTCATCTATTAATAAGCATATAAAACTCACTGTACAAAAATACTTAAACAAATTTAATCATATTATAAATAATCATTATAGAACAAATACATTAAATTATTTAAATACAGCAAAGTACATGACAGCCATTTGCCTAAGGAAGAGAAATGCTTTCATGGAGGACTTTATATGAGAAATGGAAAACTGGTTTGTATTCACATTACACAAGGGAAAAAAAAAAAAAAAAAAAAAAGGTGGGGGGGAAGAATCTATGCAGCCAGTCTATTCATCTGGATTTGAACCCATTACAAACTACCAACATGCAACAGTCCTAACCACTTGGCCAGTGCAAACACAATAAAACAAAGATTATAGAGTCATTGGATCTAGAAGTCATTTTCTTGTCTACCAATATGTCTTAAGTATGTTCTATTGTAACTCTCAAATGAGATGCATCCATTTCAGTATCCTTCTGACACATAATCTAATTTGAGATAACAGAGGTTGCCATTAAAAAAGCTTTAACATTACTAACATTCTAAATCTCTAAATGAAATGTTGCAACAGTACAAGCGTTATTATATATTTATATTTATATTAGGCTTTAGCCAGTAAATTTCTCATTCAATAAAAAAGTAAAGTAAAATATAATGCAAACATTGTAGTTAATTTTAATCACTATTTTCTTCTACTATATGTATTTCTATTATTTGCTTTCAAACACTTAGATATGTAAAATTGTTATTTCCATAAAAGAAAGCTTCATCAAAAAATGACAATATCACTAGGTTTGATAAATTCAATGCAAAAAACAGCATTTTGTCTAAAAACATAAATACTGCATTGCAAAGAACCTCAAATAGAAAAAGATTTTCAGGCATAAGACCAACATGGTTGATTTTATTTTAAAAAAATTATAATAATACTTCTGTGTGAAATTTTAAAAACTATTTGTTAAAGTATATAAGATTTGATTAATTATTAATAATATTTCATTATTAATGAAAATAATAAGCGTTTTAGTGCTGGAAGGAATATACTTTATTATTTAAATATGACAAAAGCATACTTAGACACTCTGTCTAGAGCAGTGATTCTAAAACTTTTTTGCCCCGGCACCTCTTTCACCAGTACTAGACACCCCACTACCTTTCTTCCGAAACTTTAAAAATACATATATATTTATTCAAATTTATATTACTTTTTAACGTTTTTCATAAATTAAACAAATTTATGAAAATTAATTATTCATTTTAGTACAAAAAATTTTGCTAAATACCAAAACGTGAATAAAAATAGTTTCTTTACTTTCAAAAAACTAAAATTAAATGTTTAACAGGTAAGTCTGCATAAGAGACTAACTGCATTTCTCACTGAAACAAAGAAATTCTCCTCTGGTTGAAATCCCTGTTCTAAAGGAAGGAATGCATTCTTGGAAAACTAACAGCCTTTATCAACAAGTAATGATCACATGTATATTACTCTTAATAATAAAGGCTAATGACAAGTGTGCAAAATAAGGTGAATACAAAGGGTTGAAATTAATTAAATATTGGAATTAATTCATTTCAGTCCTTTGTATTCAATAATTCAATTTCTTTTCATTTCTTATATGATAATTATTTTTTCATAGAAGGAAGCAATAATGCAAAGATGTTTTCTTTTTTTTTTTTTACAGATGAACGTGGACCCTAATATCCTAAACATGGATGATTTTAATAGCTGATAACTTTTTCATTAAATCTTGCAAAAATTCTAGAAAAAATGTGAAAGATATGAAAAAGAGTTTCAGTCGTAGATATCCATACCATTATATCCAATTTTTATCGTCTTGGAAGTTCAGTACAACAGTATGAAATATCATTAAGTGTACAGGAAAGTGGGAGTAACCAAAAGGTTCATTCATTATAACTTGTTAATTAGAGCAATAATCAACTACTATATTTATAAAAGGGTGAAACAATAAATGTGTATTATAATGTGGAAAAATCAAAAAGGCTGTTAAGCTGTGTTACAATGTGGGAAAAAAAATAAACCTTACCTGTATTTTTAGTAGGTACTAAATTTTGCAGCAGAATTTAAGGTCAAAATACTGAAACAAAGTACTTAAACCTTCAGATAAATTTCAGTTTATTTAATATAAACTATACTATGTTCAAACAAAATTTAGTCAAAATAATTGTTCTTTTAAACATGAAAAGAGATTATCTAAATAAAATTATTAAACCCATTTTGTCCTACTGAGTTCAAATAATCATGAACCTACTTAAAGTATAAAAAAAGATGTTAATCTTTCATTAAGTAAACTAGCAAAGCAGTTATGAAAAACGGCATTGATTCTCACAAGCTAAACTCTGTTTATGATTATACAAGATATTTTACCATTTAAGTCAGAGTTTTGAAAGCTTAAAGCGCAGATTTAATCAATTACTTTACTGCAGAGTTGAACTAAGCATATTTATTTCAAATTTAAAACATTCTGAAGTAATCTTATAATTCATATACAGTGGAACCTCAAGATACGAGCACCTCTATATATGAGAAATTTGAGATACGAGGAATTTCTCATATATAAAAAAAAATCCGGCTCTAAATATGAGCATTGACTCGAGCATAGATCAACGAGCCAATCTGTTGCTATGTGTGGTGTGTTTCCCGATCTGGCTCGACTCGGGGTATCTCCTCGTCAGATCACTCAGTGTTCTTTGATCTTCATGTCTGTGTGCTTGCGAATTAATTGTTTTTTTTTTTTTTACTTTTAAAGTGAAAATTATTATTTCACGATGACTCCTAAGAAGATTGTTGCCTAAGATAGTGCTGCAAAGAAAAAGAAGGAAGCCATGGGCTATTGAAATTAAGAAAGAAATCATAGATAAACATAAGTGTGGTGTAAGAATGATGGAATTGGCGAAGACTTACGGCCATTTGACATCAACAATCTTCTGTTCTGAAGAAGAAGGAAAAATCAAGAAACTTGATGTGGCCAAAGGAATTACCGTTACATCCAAGCACTGTTCAAAACTCCTAGAAAATGTTGAGAAGCTGTTGTTGGTGTGGATTAAAAAGAAGGAGTTAAAAGGCAATTCGGTGTCAGAAGCTCTCATTTGCGTTAAACTAAGAATCTGTACTTGGGCCTTCACCAAAAAACATCAGGTTTGTCGACTGAACATGAGATGGCAATGGGATTTTTGGGGGTGTGGAATGGATTAGCTGGATTTCCACTATTTTCAATGGGGAAGTTTATTTCTACGAGGGCTATCCAGAAAGTAGATTACGTTTTGGAATAAAAAATTAACAAAGTATAGGAAACAAATTTTATTATATACAGATGAAAGCCACACTCAAATACTACTTTTCTACATAGTCACCATACAAATTAAGGCATTTATCGTAGCGATGTACGAGCTTGGAAATTCCTTCGTCGAAAAATTCGGCCGCCTGCGCCTTCAACCACTTCGTTACCTCTTCTTCTTTTCGCTGATGATTTCGTGCAACAAACTTCGCGAAATTTGTGGAAAACTCAAAGAAAGTTCCGTTATTGTGAAATTTCGATTTTCACGGACTTAGCATCGACTTTTTCGAGAAGTTCGGCGGTCACTATGCTGGGTCTCCCACTTCGATCTTCGTCGTGAACATTGGTTCGGCCATTTTGAAATCTTATGACCCACTGACGCACTCCACCTTCAGTGATAATGTTGTCCCCATACACTTCACGAAGCTGCCGATAGATTTCTATCGGTTTACAGTTTTTTGCAGTCAGAAACCTTATTACTGAGCGCACCTCGCAGCTCGCGGGATTTTCAATTAACGCAGACATTTCAAACCGTCACAGTATCTGAACGGAGCACAGCACTAACCTCTCACTAGCACGGCTAGATGCAGACTGAGCTGCGCAACGCTCTGACCCCAAGATGGCCGTGCTAGCCCCACCCCTAGCGGACACAGACGGAAACGTAATCTACTTCCTGGATGGCCCTCGTAGATATGAGAAATTTGCTATACGAGCTCAATGTTGGAACAAATTAAACTCATATCTCAAGAGGTTCCACTGTACATAAAAAGGATAACAAACAGAAATAAGTTTATAGTCTTTACAAGTTTCATACTACACATAAATATTAATTTAAAAAAAACTTAACTTACCTTGGCAACACCTGAAGAGACAATTCCTACTCCTACTTCTGACACAAGTTTAACAGAAATTCGAGCAGAAGGATTGGCACATTTCAAGTCATAGATCAACTGATCATAGATAAAACATGTATGTTAAATAAGAGAATAATATTTTCAAATATACTAATATAAAGCATGATTTTAATATAATTTAAAAATAATAATTACATATAAACAGTGGCGTAGCGAGGGGGGGCAAGGGATGATGCCTCGGGTGCCGCTCCCAGAGGGGGCGCCAAATGGTCTCCAAACAAGATTTTTATCATATCACTGTTTTTTTTCGGGGAAGGGGGGGCGCAAAAAATGTATTTTGCCCTGGGCGCCAGTTATGCTCGCTACTCCATTGCATATAAATACAGTAGAATTTTACTAATGCACACACTTCAAGACCAAGGATTGTGCAGATTAGTAAATTTTGTGGATTATAGGTCTTGTCTTTCTAAGTATTTTTTTAATGTGTTTCCTTTTCTAATTTTTACATTGAATCTGAATTTTTGTATAGAGGAAGCTAACTAAACCACATTGATATCTTAAAACTTAATCAAGATTTAATGAATACAAAACTTATTTTTAAAAATAATTACATATAAAGAAAATACGTTCAGTATAAAAGGGGGAAAAAACAGTATATGAATAAAAGTACTTACACTTTCTTGCAAAAATTTTAAAAAAAGAACTCTCTTTGCAAAAATGCATCAAAAATTTTACATAAAAAGTACTGTATATTGACCAATGAAATCACTTTAAAGCAATGTTCATGCTCTTAATATATATATATATATATATACAGGTGATTATAATTAAAATTTAAGTTTCAAAACACTATAAAAAAAGAACCACTCATGAAAATGACGTCAAATTTGAAAAGAATGTTATTGAAGAAGGTGGAAAGTGTATGGCAGAAGAAAAAATTAAGTTTCAAAAGTTAGCAACAGATGGCGCTGCAAGCGGAAGATGACGTAAATTAAAATGTTAGTTAAATTTCAGTCTTATAAAGCCGCAAGGTAACAGGCTGTTCCTTATTTCGCGTCTCAGACGTTCGCCATGGGTGTTTCACTGCAGGACTGCGCTCTGCTGGTAAAGCTGTATTACAAGAATGATGATTGTGCAAGAGTAGCTCTGCAAAAATTCAGGACACTGAAGGGTATAAAAGAAGGCATTGGTCCAATGAGTGGTCGTATGTCTAAAGAAATGATGCAAAAATTCGAAGCGACAGGTTCGTTTGATGTGCAATGGTAGAAGGAGAAACGAGTGCATTCGACGGTAGTTGAAGAAGTGGCCCCAGCATTACAGGAGGGGTCGGCCGGTGGTGTGCAACCATGCAGTGCACGAGGAATTGCCCGAACATTGGACAGGCCTACGAGCACGGTGCTGAAAATTGTACGAAACATCCTGCAATGCTATCCGTACAAAATTGGCTATGTGCAGGATTTGCTTCCGTCTGACCTGACAGCTAGGGAGACGTTTGCGTTTAGAATTCCTGGCTCGCATGGAAATGGATAATGAATGGCCGTGGAAAATTTTGTGGATAGATGAAGCCCATTTCTATCTGACAGGATACGTGAATACCCAGAATTGTCGAATACGGGCAACAGAAAATCCATTGGTAAAGCACCCCGTACCACTTCATCCTGAAAAGGTCACTGTATGGTGTGGCTTTACGGCATCATTCATCCTACAACCATATTTTTTCGAGCAGACGGGTGCTTCCGATCCTGTTACCGCAACCGTCACTGGTCAGAGGTATGCGTCTCTTTTGCGCAACCACGTGATTCCAGCTCTGCAACAGCATGGATGTGTGGATGAAATCATTTTTATGCAAGATGGCGCCCTCCGCACATTGCACATCACGTGAAGCAGTTTGCTGAGGCGCCATTCGGAAATGCTCGAATTATCAGCCGTCATTTCCTACAGCCTGGCCGTCCGATCGCCTGATCTTACTCGTGTGATTTCTGGCTGTGGGGAATCTGAAGGATGTTGTGTTCCGTGCTCCAATTGCAAATTTAGCGGAATTAAAGGCACGCATTTCACAACACATTCTGAAACATCACCCCCAGAGACACTGCGATCCGTTGTGGAACATGCTGTTTGTCGCTTTCAACTTGTTGCACACAATGGTGGACACCATATTGAACATGTTTTGCGCCAGTCTCGGACAGTCCGAACTTCTTTGATGAATGGTTCTTATGCGGTACGTCGCCGCAAAACTCATGAAACCGATTTGTCCCTTTCGATGTGATATGTACAGTCATGCAAAAAAATTATTCAACAATCTAATTGTCAACGTTTTAATGTGTAACTTCCACCTTAGCCGTTGTTTTACGAATCATTTCTTGTCGTGATTCTGCGCTTACAGCGCCATCTGTGCTAACTTTTCAAAACTAAATTTTTTCTTCTGCCATACGCTTTCAGCCTTCTTCAATAACATTCCTTTCAAATTTCACATCATTTTCATCAGTGGTTCTTTTTTTATAGCGTTTTTAAACTTAAACTTTAATTATAATCACCCTGTATATATATATGCTGTTTACAAAACTCCAGAAATAGAAATTTCCTTAAACTGAATTCCTATGTTAATTCTGTCACTATGTTCTGTGCAGTTGGATTAATGATACTAAAAGTGTGCTACAACTGAAACTTTGGATTTACTAAAAGGAATTTCTCTGTTCTTGAACTCCCCCCCCTTTTTTTTTTACCACGCTTTCTACTTTTAATGCTATACAAAATTTCACAAATGCTTTTAAGATGTTAAGAAATTATACTTATTTATCATTGACACTGCTTACTCACTGTGTGCAATGTAAATGAACTAGTTACAAAGGTCATTAAAAATTGAATACAACATCTGAAAAGGTTCGGACAAATAAATTCTTGGCACATGCCACATTACTTTAAAGTTAATTATCCACATAAATTAATATTAAAAGACAACAAAATATGAATTTTATAGCATAAATTTATTTATTATGTGATTCTGATATAATATATATTAACACTTAATTAAATATTATAAATTTTATGTTCTTTGGCTCATTTCTTTTTGTAATTTTCTTGCACTTTTACACTGAGTACTTCAAATATGATGAAAACATAAAACATTAATGTACATACTAGTGTGTAGATAAGCTTAGCAATGCATCACATTACTAAGAAATAATTAATTTAGTTAAAGTAACTTTGTTAATATTCCAGATCTGTAATTGTAGAATAGTTTTTCAAATTGCTAATGAAAGTATGAAATAGACAAGACGCTTAATAATTTAAGTCAACTTTGACAGGAAAGAAAAAGCTATAAAATACTGAATTTATAAATCAGATACTATGTAAATCAAAGCAATTTGTAAAATTAATATAATATAATATATAATATTCTTTGGTACCAATCTTCAAATTTTAAAAGCATTTCAGTTCTAAATGTTAAGTAAAATTTTAAACACATAATAAATAACTTAACGCATACGAAATTTAGACTCTCATGAAGATGCTTTTACATATTAGCTAGTAATTACCAAACTATTCAAGAAAATCATTTTTTCCATAAATTTAATGATGATTAAGATATATTTTAGTTCTGCTTTTTTTAAAAAAGGCAAACTTACAAAACATAACACACAAAAACACATATAATATGACACATAAAACTCTCAATGGATTTCAAAGCTTTAAACTGCAAAACTAATTAACTATTTTCAACTTTATACCACAAACCTAATTGACCACAAAAATATAATCCCTGAAATTCTAATTCTAAAAGTTTAAATCTTAATACATTCATCCATTTCATGAACAAGTCTTAGAAGAACTTCCTCAGCTCATAATAAATAAATTTTACATATCAAAGGTTTTATTTTAATAGGAATTCTTTGAAATACTAAAAAAAAATTACTTCAGATAAATCTTCAATGGAATATATATCATGATGTGGAGGAGGACTGATAAGACCTACTCCAGGTGTAGAATGTCGTGTAGCTGCAATCTCAACAGTTACCTAAAAGAAATATAAAAATCTTTAATAAAATAAAGAGAAGTATGAAATAAGAAGTTTGCATCGACTCGATAAAGATTAATTATCAGTTAAGATATGGAATGCAAAAAAATACTGATGTGATTAAAATTTCATTTGAAATAATTCAAATTAAGAGTACATGAAATATATTATTATTTCCTTTTTTTTTTTTTTTTTTTTTTTTTACTTCTTAGTTACTTTGAAAAAATACATCATAGAAAATTTTATGGAAAATTATTCTTAATATTTTCTGTGTCATTCGGCAGTCATGAATTTATCAACACAAACTGTAATTATTACAAATGCATTTTGCAACCTTACAATAAGTGTGTTGCAAATTCATTAATTTTCTTATCAAGTTTCAAAACTGTTCATACAAATTTCTTGTTTACCAAAAAGTCTCTATCACCATTATTTTTGTATTTTTCTTCCCAGAATGCCAATCTGATACATTTTTACCAAGTTAAACTTATTTTTTTTTTATTTGGTATTCATTCAGTACCTCTCAGAATGATGTTTTATTGATTCACACCTTCAAATTTCTATCCCTTTACTTCTTCAACCAACTTTGTAAAAATATACAGATTTTGTAGTTAAATAAATAAGCTTTTACATAAAAATAATAATGTGTCACTATTATATTCTATGTAAAACTTAGCAATTCTGTCCCCCAAGAAAAAATACATAAATCATTCACATAAAAAATGAAAATGTACTTAATGAATAACTTTTAATTTAGTAGTGACAATTTATGATATTTATGAATTATCATTGACTAAATAAAATATTTTATTAAATATGATATTTACGAATTATCATTGACTACATAAAATATTTTATTAAATATGATAATATGATATTTACGAATTATTGACTAAATAAAATATTTTATTAAAAAACTTAATCTTTGATTAATATCAATTAAAAATGAATTTCATAATTAATTGTGGACCAAAAAAGTATTTCGCTTTATGTTCAGTAAATTTCATAATTAATTGCAGACAGGGAAAAATGTATTTTACTTTATGTCCTGGAAGTTCTCCACCTTCTCCTGGTTTTGCTCCTTGAGCCATTTTGATTTGGAGTTCATCTGCATTTGCTAAATAGCCAATAGTTACCCCAAATCTTCCTGAAGCAACCTGCATTTAGTTAAAACAATATAATATCATGTTTTCATTCAGATGAAGTTACATTCTATGCATAAAATGTATAAGAAATGGGGAATTAAAATAATTTGTCAGGCTATTAAAAATTATTGTTGAATAGGTGTTATTCGAAATAATAGCTTTCCTTTAATATAGATCTTGATTTATTCTTACAATTCAGGTTCTTAATAAAGAACTCAACTTGAAAATATTTACAGCAAAGGAAACTAAGCATACTAAGCAATAGCTATATAATTTAAAAATGTCATTAATTAGAAAAAAATAGCTTCAAGACTTTCATTGGTTTGGAATAAACCTATTACCAGGCATATGATAAGAGACCTTGCATATTGATGGCAATTATATGAAATCACAAATAATTTTTTTTTTTTTTTTTTTTTTTTTTTTTTTGTTCATCACCTTTTCAAAATGCAGAATAAAATATAAAGAAACAAAGTTTGAATTTTAATTTAAATTTTCATAAAATTTATAAAAACATTCTATATTATTTAAAAAGAAATATATCACATTTTCAGGTCTATGAAATTACTGTCAAACATTAATATAAGAAATTTTGCTTTGTATGAGTAATAAACATATTAATATTTCAGTAATAAAAAATAAAAGCTTCTCTTATTTATTATAATTATAAGAAAGCAAAATTTTAAAATGGAAGCATTCATTAAAGTACATAATAATACATAAAGCTACCAAAAAAAATAAAGGTTGTATTAGCACTAATACCCATTAATAGACAAAAAAAAAAAATCAAAACTTACCTGCTTAATAGCAGATCTTTTATTATTTGAGCTATCAGAACAATGGAAGCGATCAGAGCTTTCTCCACCCTCTCCTGTATTAGATTTTCCACCAATGCGGTTCATAGCTATGGCTAAAGTTTCATGGGTTTCAATAGATATGCTGCCTAAACTCATTGCTCCTAAAACAAAAAGTACTTTTCAGCTTGATATAGAAACACTACTCAATGAACATGACTAGACTTCAGAATTTTAACTATACAAATCTTGAAAACTTTTTACAAACATAAGGGATATCTATCTCCATTGGATATTATGCAATATTATACATGTTGCAGATTTAAGAATTAAATTAGGATTTGTATTAGTAAACATGAAAATCCTCTTTCAGTTAAATAGTCTGCCCATTAAGGTAAAATTTATAACAGCAATTAATATGCACTAATAGAAATCAACAAAACCCTATTTATGAAGTGCAAAACAAAGTGGTTACAATACTTCTACAACAGTGGCTGTTTGATGGTCTGAGCAGAGAGACTGATGAATGTTTTATTTTAAGAGTTGCAGACAGAAGATAAATACACATGAACAAGTGGTATGACTTGTTCATGTGTATTTATCTCTGGGATCTCTGTCCATCAAACTTTGCCTGCTTTTCATGGTTGATGGGATAATACTTAAATATCAAATTTTCTAATATTTAAGCATAACATATTAGTTATAACCACTGCATAAAAATAATGAAGATTTCACTTAGTGTCACACCCTGATAGCCTTTTATGAAATCACAGTTAGATAAAAGATTAAAAGAAAAAATTGAAAATATATCAATAATTGATTTAACAACATAATCAAAAGAACTAAAGTGTTTTACTGTGACCCAACAAATATATACAGCACACTTTGCTTATATTTCATAAAAAAGTAACTACTTTCATAAAAGATGATATCAAATAATACATGCTAAATATAATGTGCACACTTTTATTTTTCTTATTTATATATTTAGAGATTTATACAAAATATTTGAATGCATGTGCAAATTACAATCAAAGAGGAATGAAGCAAAAATAACTTATCCAAAGAAATAGAATCTTACATACCAGTCACAAATCGTTTAACAATCTTATCTGCAGATTCAACCTCACATAAAGGAATAGGATCTGGATGAAACTTCAATTCCAATTGTCCTCTGAGCGTACAGTCTCTAATACTGCGTATTGTACTTTCCACAAATCGATCATACGATTTTTGAGAATTAACTTTGACAGCTTCCTGTTTTAAAACAAAAAGAAAACTAATACTATCACAATGTTTCATACAAAAATGAGAGACTAAACTACATATACAAAAAATATAAAAACTATTTTTATACAATTAAAAAAATATATACCAGGGTTGGCCAAACTTCATGTCAGTAAGAGCCACATGTTTGAATTCAGGAGCGTTCGAGAGCCGCATCTAGATTTTCTAAAAGCCACAAGTTCATATTTTACATCATTATAGAAGTAGTGGAGGAGGTTTCAAATAGAAAGAAATCCCTGATAACTTTGTAAATAGAGTCTAAACTAATTAATTACTTTCTTTTTGGACACTGAATAGTTTTAGTTTATCATATTTCATGCATATATTTTATATGCACGAGCCGCACAAATTGCCAGCGAGAGCCATTCAGGCTCGCGAGCCGCACTTTGGCCACCCCTGATATATGCAATACATAAAATTTAAGGATGATTATCTTTCTGACAGTTTCTAATACTCTGGAAGGGTCAGGAGAAACCAAGAATTCTTTTTTGCATAGGTTTTGCAACTTGCTATTTCCTGCCTACTGTTGTGATTAATCACAACAAGCAACTTGTAAACAATATATGCAATGCGATATAAGAGTAAAACATTTAATGCACACCAGAGATAACATGTATTTTAACTCTTAATTGTTAACATAGATCAATGAAAAAAGTACTGGTAAAAAGAAGTTATTAGGTTTTCTTTGGTTGCTGAGAATTAACATATTCATGCCCTATCTAGTCTTCAGCACACACATCATATATTATACATCAATATTATATATTATACATTATACAGTAGTGGTGTATAATATACAAAAATACAGCAAGTATGTAATGCTAGAAATTAATCCGATTACACAATCCTATACCGTAGGGAAAAGAAATAGCAATATGAATATTCTTCTGAGCTTGTGGGTTTTTTTTATGGTATTGACTGCTCAAGCTCTCAGATTACTGTGGCTCAGATTTCTTTAGGTGAGCCTAGAGAGTTAGTTCACAGTAAAAAGATGTAATGACTGGGATCTCTGGATTTCTCTCTGGATCACATAATATTTAAACACAAGCTGTCATATATTAATCCAATGCAAAGTAAGTAGTAACAGCCCTATGCCCAGTAAAAATGTATATAAAGGCAGTATGTTTGCTTATGAGTGTTGGACTGACTGCTGAACAAAGAGTGTGTTCTCTTTGAGTTTGAACAAGAGTGTGCGAATGAGTAGCCTGCTGGGTCAGAATGCTAAAGTTCTTACCACTTCTGTTGTAAACACTGAGCAGTCAATCTTTTCAAGTGGGAGGGGAATTTCCATATTTGGAGCACTGGGATGAGAGGATGCAAGTTTTGCTTACGTATCTATCTTCTCATTACCTTCAATATCTATGTGAACTGGGACCCAACACGAGCAGCTCTTGATGAGCTCAGTGGGAAATATAGAAGCATTGTCTGCACTTCTTGCTGAACCAGCAAGCTACAAAGATGGATGCCTTTTGTAGGCTTGAAGAAGATTCAGCTTTCATTGTAACAGCTTCAACACTTTGATTGCTTGGTGACAACTAATTCAGCCTAGAACTGTAGCAACTTTTTCAAATGGCCAACTTAAATTTCCCTTTTCTACAGTATTGGAATCTGCTACTTTGCATTTGAAATACTGATGTTCTATGTTTTCTAGTAGGAAAATCAAGTACATATGATGCCAAAAATCCCATGAACAGCATCTGATGCTTTGTATTCCCATCCAGAATTAATTATAAGACAATGCCTGTCATGTGTAGATGAGAGATGAAACATGCTGCTGCACACCTGTTGTAATCCAGATTTAGCGCCTAGCCACAGTGGATGAATAAAAAATCAAGCTCTTGAAGAGAGGATAAATGGTTGCTAGAACACTGGGAGAATCATTACAGTGCAAAGATTTTTGAATAATAAAATGTTTTGCATGCACACAAGCATCCACTCTTTTTCAGTCATTTTATTCATCTGGGGAATATAAATGTTTTAGCACATACAAATTATTTAGAGAATTTGCTATACCAAGAAAAAGTTATCAACTAGAACTCAAGTTTAGCACACAGATTAGTTATTATAAGAAATGCAAATAATTTAGATTTCAGCTATGTACATATATGATGGGCATACAAAAAAAGGTTGAATCTGACTCTGAGGATAAAAAAAAAAAGGGCTGAAAATGGTAAATCTAAACACATTTGATGGATGCCGAAAATCAGCCTAAAGGAAGGTGATTTCCCGTACTATGAAACTGGAGTAAGTATGGATTAGACACAGCACCGTACTTGAAGACAAAGGATGGAAGATGATTCAATAATTGGATGTGAAAGGATTGAACTCCTATAGGCATGTCAGAATGGGAGGATAAATAGCTAAGTATATATGGCACTGATGGATTGTGAAATAACTTCTACACATTAGTACAGCAGTGGAGAACAGTGACATATTAGGAATATCTGCTAGAACTATTTGATAACAATTGTGTACTAAGGAGTTGTAGTTCAGTATATCTTTTTGCTACTTCAGTTAACCTCCTACATTGATATCAGAGACTGTGTGGTGTAGAGAATGAAGATAGCAAGACCTTGAATGAGATCACATAATTTTCCCTAAAGAGTTTAGGTACAATTTGTATTTCCAGAGCAGCCAGACCTTTGATTGCCAATACCTTGATGACTACCATCTAGTATAGCATTATAGTGACCCTACCATCAGCATTATAATGAGGAATGCCATCACATTTAATTTACAGTTGCCACAAATTGCTAGTGGCTATTATTGCTAAAGAAACATTCTAGAATTGATTCCAACAGGACAATCTTACTGCCCAGGTCACATGCTTTATTTAAAATTCCTTGTTTGACCACTAAGTGTATATTCTTTTTTCACCTATAAAAGATAGCAAACTCATTTACCTCACAGAAACATGTTTGATATGATAACGAGAAAAATAGGACTATATGTCACGACAGTAGCAATTGATGAGCACCAGATGTTCATTTAGTCTGCATGGAATGATGTTCTGCAGACAGCTATCAAAATTTTGTATACTGCAATGCATATGATCAATTATAACATACTTTCCCTTTTAAAGTGGGACTTTTAAAGTGGACTACTTTCCTTTTAAAGTGGGACAAAATGCATTAAATTTAAATGTACCTGACTCTAAAATTTTGCTCATTCATGTCCCATCAAATAAATATCTTTGTTATAACTGATGTCTTTTTTATTATTATTATTTTATTTATTTGATGTTACAATTTCTCTGAATAACAATCATTAAGCAATTTTAAGCATAATAGGTAAACATAATCTATGATTCTCCACTTCATTAAAGAATTTAATTAATTATTGGAATTGCATTACAAAAAGAAACATACTTGTAAGTTCGCAATACTTAAAGGATCATTCACATGAGCTTCTCCACCACTTCTCCAATGATAGAAACCAGGATTTCTTAATATGTGACTATCACCATTTCTAGCAGTGAAAGCTATACTGTGTCTCTCAAGAGCTTCCAAAGCAATTACTTCAAAGTTTGCACCACCAATTCTTGATGGAGTATTCTGAAATAAGCATATTAAAATAAGGTATACAAAAGCATAAAAAGTAGACATCTATTTTATTTTCAATAGAATGTCTTCTAAAAGTTTTGTGAGCTTGTAAATAGCAATAATGATGTCTAAAATAACAACAAGAATGTTCCAAAATATGATATAACAGTGCAAGCACAAAAGTACAACACAGAACTTTCACATTTTTTTTATAGTATAAGTAGAGCTTTGAAAAAGAATATTGTTGCATGCAATGAATTTATACAGTTTTCTTTAAATAACTGAGCCTGATGAACAACGTAAATTTAAAACTTTATTCTAAATGAGATTAAAACAGCTCTTACAGATAATGTAATTAGCAATAAATATCCCAAGGAGACAGCAAAAGTAAACTAAATTTTTCTTGAACATGCAGAAATATCATAGGTTACAAAAATCTTTCATGCAAAATAATTTAAAGCAGTAGTCACCAAGCAGAAAGTTCAACAGCATAGAACAAGCAAGAAGACTTGATCCATTTTGCTTACAGCCACTGTTCAAACAGCTTACTACTTACAGATACCATTACTCAAAAAAAAAAAAAAAAAAAAAAAAAAAAGAAAAAAAAAAAAAAAAAAAGAAAAAAAAAAAAGAGAGAGAGAGAGAATGTACCTCTGGAATCTTACACAAAAATCCCGCCTAGGACTTTCAAAATTATCTTTGGGAAATTTCCAAAACAACATCAAGTAGACAAGAAATTACGAAATATTGTTAACTTCACAAGTTAAACATTAACAATAAAATAAATATAAAATTACCATATAAAAACCACAAATTAGATAAATAAAAATAAATACATAACATCATTCGAGCATATACAAAAATGAAAACTACAAACAGAAAACACAATATTTACATAATCACAATAATCTAAATCAATAACTTAATATTAAATATTTAATAAAAATGACTTCATAAAATCCATTATGAAAACTGACTCGGATAAATATCAAAATTTGTCACAATATTAATTCCCCAAACTTGCATAAAATAAACATAAGCAATGATGTATCCTAACTACTTTCCTTTTTAAAAATTAATTATATAGCTTTTTAAAGAATGTTCTTTGGAATTCCAGTTGCAAATGCCTTACATTATCAAAAATGTGGTCTCAAGAATTAAAAGAAAAATTAACACTAGCAATAAAACTTAATTTCAGAAATTCCTCTTCTTTATATTAGTGGAAAGAAATGATATTTCAGTTTCATTTAGAGTTAACACAGAGATTACAATATTTATAGGGGGAGGAAAACTTGCTGCATACAAATGAGTGTTAAAATATACGTATGCACATAAATATTAGTATACCTTCTAAGAGAACAGTTATATGAAATTTCAAATTACTTCAAGAATAATGCACAAGTTTCAAAAGCATATCAGTAAACAAATCCTAAGATAATAATTATAATAATACAAGTAGAAAATGTATCCCTATTTTACATAAATATTTCACATATATAATCCATTCATCAAATATATTATCATTTTCTAATTACCTTAAAACATTTTTCAACAACTTCATTAGCTAAACCTAAAGCTTCAAATATTTGAGCACCTTTATAGCTTTGAAGTGTGGATATTCCCATCTTAGTCATGACCTGAAATTTTTAATTAAAATATAATTAACAAAAAATGTAAAATAAAATTCTAAACACCAAAATAGCTAAAGTAAAATTATTCTATTTTTTCTGGGAATCTAGTCAAAACATAAACTAACAATAAATCTAAACTGAGTACTTCACATAATTTGCTGTCATAAAATTTGCTATTACACATAAACTTATCTCATATATTTATAGAAAAATAAATTCTATTAGCTTGCCTATTTTTCTCCTTTTCTTTTACTTATTTTACAGCTTGCAAATCAAATGGGCAAAATTAAAAATTTGTTGTATTTTTCCCCCTTCCTCTGCAAATTTAGATTTACTAATATAAGCTCACCATCAAAATACTTTGTTATAATACAACTTAATGAGCTTATATATTATCAGTATAACAGATTAACATATGGTAGAGTATGAGGCTCTAAATAGAATCTTACAGAAACTTGCTGCAATAGGCTTAAGTTGAAGTAATTATTGTTAATTCAAATTTTTAAAAAAATCCTGTTTAGAAGACAGCTAGCTTTAATTAAAAAAAGCTTTGTGGGCTATTGTAATACATTTTAAAATATAATCATGTAGAACTTATGAAATGATTCTTTGATATGCAGGAGATTTGACTACTACTGCATTATTAAATATCTACTCCAAAGCTTAAATAATATATTAAAATATTCTACTTTCAATTAAAATGGAGGGGGTTGTGTTTGTTTGTGTGTGTCTCCTAAGTGAAAATGAACAAGATTTTGACCATGAAATTTACTTTCTGATGATTTTCCAAAATTCATTGAAAGTTAGTCAATTAAAAGTTAATTAATATAGCAGTATTTTATAGTCTCTCTTCAAACAAAAAAAAATGACATGAATTAAAGTAACAGACATTATCAATTTACTTGAAATTTCTTATAATACAATACTAGACAATTAAATACATGCCAAAATATTTAAATGTTTATATCATTTATAAAAAATATTTTATTACAATATGCTTTTATTTATCAATAAGGTACCTTAGAGATTCCAGTTGCCATAGCTTTAATGTAATTAGTTTCAATTTCCTCTTCTTTCATTTTAGGAATAAGTAAGCCTTCCCTATTCAAGCACAGTGCAATTTCAAATGCTAGATATGGGCACACAGCATCAGCACCATATCCAAGAAGAACACACATTTGATGAACTTCTCTTGCTTCCCCAGTTTCAACAATAAGACCCACTTTTAGGCGCTTGCGTTCATTAATGAGATGATGGTGCACAGCTCCCAAAGCTAGAAGAGCACTAAAACATTAAAAAACAATTAACTCAAGAATTGTTCTGCAATAAAACAAACAGCTCTTATTCCTACCCTTAAGATACATGATATGCACACTGTAATAAACCAAAAACTGATCACTTTTCTTCCCTAATTTTGAAATTTTACATGGTCGGAGGGACTTTGCTCTCCTACCTCTAATATTTGAACTTGGATCCTGTTATCATTAGCAAGTAACTGAAAAAACTAGCTAGTGACTCTGGTCATGCTTAGCATAAAGATGAACAATCTACATCTATATGTAATGCTGTATTCTTTATAATTAACAAACAATCCACATCTGTATGTAATGCTGTATTCCTTATACAGTACAAAGTCTGTAATCCAGACATCCATTATCCGGAATGATCTATAATTTGGACATCAAAGCCACAAACTTTATGCTTTACGCATGTGCATAATGCATTTATGCATGCTCGTTACGCGTTTACACATGCGCATTTAATGTATAACGGACGGTATAAGCAAGGCTAAAATTATCTTTAACTGATTCTAAGGCATTTCAGTTAATGTTGCAGATTGTGTTGTTCCTTAATCTTTGAATTGGATCCGGCTTATTATTTTTGCAGACTGTTAGAGCAATTTTATAAAAGTAAGCTTGAACTTTCGATTATGTCACATAGAATTTCCGATGCTGGAGCTCCCAAAGGATCTACAAAGCGAAAGTATGTTTCGATGTCCATCAAACAAAAAGTGGAATTGCCGCAAAAAATGGATAAAGGCATGAAGAAAGTGACAGAGAGGTTAGTGAAAACGAAAAAACTTCAATTGACAAGTTAGTCGGTATTCTTGGCACAGCAATTACAGGACTTGAACAGCCAAACTTTGTAACTGAACAAGAAATTATGTCTGTTTATACAGAATTAAAGAGAAAGTATTAGCACATAAAACAAAGCAAATTAAACAACTTACATTGAAAGAAATGTTTAATAAAGTAAACAAATAAATATTAAGCTTTTTTATTTTATTTTATTTTTTTTTGTAAATTTTGATACCCTTTAGATCATAATTGTTCTTTATTTCATAAATTATGGTTTCATACTTTTAATTTTATAATTTCTGCATGCCATCTTACCAGATTTAAACTGATGATCTATAATCCGGAATCGCCGAAGTCCCGACGAGTCCGGATTAACGACTTTTGACTGTATAAATATTATGCAAAAATAATCATTGAAAACTTTGAAACTATTTCTTTTCTTTCTTTTTTTTTTTTTTTTTTTTTTTTTTTTTTTTCTTTTCATCATTGTTGTGCTGCTGTGCTTAACATTTTTACAGTCTGTCCAGTTCCAAAAAGAAGTTTGTCAACTTCTGCTGTAAAACATCGTGAACGATAAATAAAATATACTATATATTTCAATCATTGCATATCAAACTAATACCCTGCTAAATAAAATATAATGTATATTATAATATACTCTAATTTATGTGAAAATAAAATATTCTAACATTTTAGATCACTCTCCAAAATATGACTGAGAAATGAAGAAACACAGTTTCTGAAGTTTTCAAGCTGCAGTACCCAAAAAAAAAAAAAAAAAAAAAAAAAAAAAAAAAAAAAAAATCATTCCCCTTTTTTTTAACAAAGCAATGGAAAAAAAAATTGGTTAATGTGGCACTACTACAAATAAAAGTAACACTGAAAGTGGCAGATTCAAAATTAACAAAGAATCATGAACAAATGTCTGAAATACTTTCCGACATGTATAACTATACCTCATATATATTTATAGCCATAAAGAAAGGGTTGGGAAAGAAATGCTTGAATCTGTAGATAATCTATGAACGGAGGATATGCATGCGTATTATATGATTTAATTGAAACAAAACAAAGGCTATCTGCCTAAGCTGCAGAATATGAGGGTCTTGTACGGCCTTTCTCCACTATTAATTACTAAGTACACATAAGGTTACATAATGATCATTCTCATCCTAGGTATTTGGTTACATTGGTCTAAAACAAGCCTCATGATTGTGATTACATAGAAGAACATGCTATATTGTGTAACAAAAGAGTACTGGTCATGTTTGGACTGCTACATTTCTCTGTTGTCACTTCATGTGCCTTTAAAAACAAATTTAAAATGTTCTTTACTTGCTGTAAATCACATATAACCAAAACCACGAATATCAAATTAGCAGATACGGAGACACAATTATATCAGCTCTAAATATTTAATTTTACTTAAAATGGGTAATTTTTTTCCATTAAAAAAATGTCATTTGACAGCACACAGGAAAATATCATTTTTTAAAAAGGAATAAACTAATCAAATATTAATAATGCAGAATCCATTTACACTATGTCAAAATTAAACTATTTTATTTCTTAAATTTTACACTCCAAATGTTTGTTTTTGCACTGATAATTCATTTACGTGCTTTGAATGATATCATCTAAAGATTCCCATGCCCTAAAACATTTGTTAAAGCTACTCAGAAGTTATACATAGGTTTACTTTTTGTTTTTCTGCCGAACGGCAGTAAATTTTTCCTGGACTCATTGATCTTGACTGATAATCTGAAACTTTGTTTGTGCCTGAAGTTTGTGACTGAAACCTCCCATTTTCTCCAAAGAAGAAACAATATATTGCAAATTCTGGTTAGCACATGCTAATCCACAGTGAAATAGAATGATGTGAAGAATAATTCTACGAATACTCTCCATGTTACTACTAACACAGTGCATAGGTCTAAAGTATATGGTTATGTCAGTTCTAATCAAACAGATGGCATACCACGCTATTTTTGCAAGGCAAAAATGTATTCTGCATCTCAGCATTGCTGTTCTCCTTTTTTCATATTAGTAAGATTACTCTGCCATACCTTTAGCAAAATCCCAAACAGACCAAACATTCTGATAGATCTTATAATTTATTACCTAGGATGAATTGCGGCATAATGATCTTGAAATGTATCATCACATTTCTAACAATTTAAAATAATTGCTTCATTTCGTATCTGATAACTGGTAAAATATTAGAAATTAATATTACATGGCACCAAAGATAATTCAAAAAAAGCAAAGCTTTCTCAACGATTTCTAAGTAGGCAATAAATTCTACTCAAAATAATGAAAAAAAATCTCAGATATTTCCTGAAGTTTAAATCAAGTAAAAAAGTTTATAATAACTTTCAGGGGTTTAATTTTTTTTTTAAAAGAAAAGTAATTAACAAAATATAAAATTAAATAGGTTGACTTCAGGACATGAGTGTTTTAAATATGCAGTATGTACTTTTTAAATCACTAAATAAAATAATATAACATTTCAGCTATTTTTTTTTTTTTTTTTTTTTTTTTTTATTTACCTATAAGATCTGTTTTCCAAATTTGAAATGTACTACTCAAAATGTTTCAGAAAAATAGCTATGACAAATTTTTGTCCCAAGTTTTGTTTTATGCATTATTTAATAATCATTTTTAGTTAAATATTAGGTTCATCAATTGTGTTACATGTAACTCTTCTCTATCAATTTTTTCTTAAACTGACAAAGCCTTGAATAAGACAATATTTTTTTTAGATCTATAAGATCTGTTTTACAAATTTAAAAAGTACTACTCAAATGTTTCAGGAAAATAACTACAGGGTTGCCACTCAAACAGGAGAATGAAATTCCCTGACTTTTCCACGTTTTCCAGGTATGTTTCGAGAAAATTCCAGTCTATTTGCGTAATGTACGTTGGCTGTGCTAAGAGGTAAATTAATTATGGTATTACTTGTACTGTATAGCAAATTCACTTAATTATTCAATAAATCCCAGAGGACATTTATTTTTAATTATTCTTGGTACACTTTGTTTGATAATTTTGTTTACTTTTCCACTTAAGAAACTTAATAAAATTTAAGATATATACATTGGATAACAATTGTATGTTTTATTTAATTATTACTCAAATAATAATATAACATTTCAGCTTCAACATGAGGCTAATCCGGTTCTTATAAATCACAATGCAATGCTAAATAGTTAGGTTAGATTTTAGGTAAAATTTAATTTGTGTGAGGGTTGTTCTTAAAAGGCACCTTAACACTTGAAAACACAAATATAATTATAATAGGATTTGTTTTTTCTCCACTGAAGATTGAGATTAGAATCTGCCCAATCTGAAATAAAATAAGGCATTTTTTTTGCAGATATTCTGCAGCTAAATGAAAGAAAGAAATCTATTTAATGATATTTTTTTACTAAATTGAGGTATTTCATATTTATTTTCGCAGCATACATAAGGAAAAAATATGTGCATTAAATTTCGTGGATGTCATCATACTGCTATAATTAATTTCAGGATTATGCCAGAGAAAATTTCCTGAAATTTGGAAATATTATTTACTAATGATAAATTTAGAGGGAAGAAGCAACATTAAATGATATGAATAACATAAAAATAAAGATAATTACTTAAAAATTGAATTAGAATAATCAACGATATTTTAGTGAATATAGTTAGCCCAGATGACAGATTACTATTTTTTTATTTACTGCAAAATGACAAGGTATTTATTAAAAAGAAAAGAAACAAAAAAGATTTTGCGGTAAAATCCTAGTATATGGTATGGCCTTCACATGATTTTGAAAATTGCTCATCACCATGTCGCCAAATCACCCGTTCACTGCTCATCACCATGTCGCCAAATCCCGCTGTACCATACATGGAGATTATTTTAACCAAAGAACGTCTATGTAAAGAAGAAAAGGTTCCATACAGTAAAATGCTATTACGCCGCTTAGAAAGCGGAGGAAAATTTGCCAAGGGATTTGGCGACGGAACCTGGCGGCCAAAATTTCCTCCCTCTCCGCGATGTGTACCAGGAATTGAGAAACACGTATTAAGAATGAAACGTTCTTTGACAAAAAAGAAAACTTCGAAAATCCGTTTTTTTTTAGATTATTGAGAAAATCCAGAAGAAACGTTTTATCAAGAAAGTTTTTTCTTAGATTTTTCGCAATAATTTTAAAAACGGATTTTCGTAGTTTTTTTTTTTTTTCCTCAAAATAACTAATCCATGAATAAATTTACTTACGCCAAAAAACACATTTTCTTTTCCTTTAGAGTTTTAAAGAAATTTTAAACGATATTCATTTTAATGAATTCCTTGATAACGTGAACTTTCGAACACCTGTTTTCGAGCTTTGGCAACAGATATATCTAGCATGCACAGCTGTTTCTCTCTATGATGGAATGGAGCCACGTCTGTTGCAGAGAGGTTTTCCTTCTTTACAATACATATTTTTTTGATTCTAACCTCCATGGTACCGTATACTAGGATTAAACCCATTTTGTGTTATACGAGAACAGGTACTTTCTTTAGTTCATGCACTGCACATGCGATTCTCGAGGTTACTGGAAACCAAAAGTTGTGGGAAACTTGCTTTGCTAAAAGACAATCAAATTGGAGCTGCGGAAATTGGCTCTATGCCAGCTGCCCGAATGACACTCACGTGATACACAATTCGCCAAAAAAGTGATGTCTTCTGACGTCGGCGCAAAACTTGCCGTTTTTGGCGGGATCGTTGTATGAAATTCCCTGACTTTTCCAGATTTTGACTAAAACACTTAAATTCCCTGACTTTTCCCTGAATTTTTTGGTCAATTTCCGAATTCCCTGACTTTTTCCGGTTTTCCCGTTTTTCCAGGTAGCATGGCAACCCTGTAACTATGACAGAATTTTTTCCCAAATTTGTTTTATGCATAATAATAATCATTTTTAGTTAAATATTAGTTTCATCAGCTGTGTTATATGTCAACCTTCTACATCAATGTTTTTCTTAAACTGACAAAGCCTTGAATAAGATAAGTTAGTGTACAAATCGATAATTTTCTCTATACATCATGTCATTATGCAAATCAGAACGAATTTTCCTTGATGATCACTTCCAAAGAAGATCAAAATCTTCAGAAACTATGGGTAATTATCCAAGAGACGATTCAATGTATAAACCATATAAACAAGAAAAATTAATTATTATATTCAAGAATAAATGTTTTACAAATAAGCATATGAATTTACCTTATAGGTACATTCTCTTTGCTAGCATTTCTGTCTGATAGTATCACAAGACTATAACCATTATCAGCTGCATCACCAGCCTCTGTGCAGATTTTATCAATAGCGTGAACTAAACCTTTGCATCCATTCTCTTTTGGATATACAATATCTATTACCTTGGTCTGGAAAATTTTCAATAAAATAAATTTTGCTTAATTGCATGATAAATTTCTACAGTTAAAATAAAAGCAAATTTTTAAAAATACATAATTTAACCCTTTGGCTATGAGCTTAAAAAAAAAAGCATTTGGTAGGAAAATATTTAGCACCGGCTGAATACAAAAGATGAAACATGCACAACTAGTTTGATTCTACGACTGGGTTATGTTACAGTGAGTTTCTAAGCACTTTTTAACCCAGCAATAATTTAATTTGAGCAACGCATTGCATAAAATGACTATAAATATATTTCTACAATTTAAGATATAAAAAATCAATTGAAAACTTTTAGATAAAAATTTAGCAAATTAATAAAAATAATTTACTTTCCACTTCATGCTGAGTCTGTTAGAGATTATTTTACTCCCAATTAGTTTGTAAATCTGCCTTAATGTGGGCAGTACATATTCAAAGTAGTCAAACTTAGCTTGTCTAGTTTATCTATGTCACTGAATATGTATTGCAGCTTTTAGACAGATTTACAAACTAATTTGGGGTAAACAAATCTCAACTTAATGGACTTGACATGAAGTGGAAAACAAATTATTTTTCTATTGATTTGTTAAAGAAAAAAAAAACTTCTGCGATTAATTTTTATTATGAATATAACACACTAATAGTTCATATTTAAGATAATTAAACTCCTTTATTTAAAAAAAATAATTAGATTACAAAACAGAGATTAAATGACATGAAACTTGAAAGGGACAGGCATTTTTGCCTATGATCACACATTTTAAGATTTATAGCTAAAAAATTTCAATTTTTTTTTATATATATATTTTGAACTGTAGAAATAAATAGTCATCTCTATGCAATGCATTGCTCAAACTAAACTTTAATTTGTCTTGAATTTTCTTTCTTTTCTTTGAGGACAACATATGTAAGCAAAATTTGAAAATGGGCCTGTTATGGATTTACATGGTCACTATTAAAAATATTTTATTTTTAAAAAATATTTGTTAAAAAAGCACTATAAAATCACAATCTGAGTGCGTATTACAGCTCAATATAACATATATAATTTATGACATTGATTCTAAAATGCTATTAGGATAGTTACACATTAAAAGCTATAAAATTTATATGTTTTGTAACAAAAAAAGCACAAAACATTTATGTGGCTTTTTATTTTAAAAATTTTGTATAGATATATAAGCCAACTTATATCAATGTCCTTCTTTTTAGCATTTTTCCTAACTTTGTTTCAACAAACAAATCAATGTTCTCTATGCTTCATCTCCTAATTTGCTGATGTTTCAACAATAATGCCATTAGAAAACACTTTTTTTCCTTCCTCGCTATGTAACCAATTTTCTTCTCAACAAATTTCCTCTTTATTTTAGAATTTTCAGATTTTACTGAAACGTTCTAAAAAAATGCATGCATTTACAATGCGTATGAGAAACTTCTAATTTTATTTCTTTAATAATATGAATATTGAGAATAAGTATGAAATGGTATATTGCCAGGATGGGAGCCAGTGTAGCAGAATTTTTATAATTTAATGAAGCACTTTGAATTTTATTTATTAATATTCTCATTTCTAAACAAAATTTATAAACAAGAGTATAATTAATATCAAGTATTTGGCAATAGAAATTAGGAACAGCAAAAATTTTAGAATTTAAAGAGGCATGAGGTAGTAGAATATAGGAACCACAAAGGGAGCACTAGAAAGCGAAATGCCTAGCATTGGCTCGATGTATTAATGTATTAACACTTTGAATACCATAACGCCTCAAATGCCCTTTCATTCAAATGAGCACAACAGCCCCAAATGGCCAAAACTCTGATGTTGTTTCCTTCCCTGCCCTAAGGTATGTAGTAGCAGGTGCAGTTTCCCCAAATGCATTGTACCAGATTACTGCAGACAGCTTTTGTGGTTTATTATCTTTATTTGTGAGAAGTAGAAAGGATGTCATATGAAATCTTCACTCTTCTTTGTGCGTTAATGAATGGGGAGAGAGAAAATTGCTCTGACTCTCGAAAAACATTTTGGGCGGTTCTGTATTTTAACATACCAACTGTCGAAGGCTTCGTTTTTCAGAGTTAAGACATACAAGATCAATCATTTAAATTGTCAGTTTTCAATTTCTTTATAAAAAAATTCCTATCTACAGATACTTGTCAATGTGACAAGATTAGAAACATTAGACTTTTTACAGTTTCCCATGCTTGTATCTTGTGAGAAAAAAAAAAAAAAGAAAAGAAAAGAAAGATAAATATGACAAAAAAGATTTCTAGGATAAAAAAAGAAAAATTCAAAAGAAAAATTCTGTTGTCATTATTCATCTAAAAATCCTCCAGAAGATAAGAAATTAATCACAAAATTCTTATAAAACATGCTGATTATGTGTTAATATTATGAAGACAGTTTTCCTTTTGTCACATTTTTCTGGAATGATAGGTTAACAAATCTTGCTTTCATATTTATCTAAATCAGGGGTTCTAAAACTTTTTTGTCCCATGCACCCATTTCACCATTACTAGACCATCATTGCTCCTCTCCCCACTACCACCTTTCCAAAACACAAAAAATATATATACATTTACTCAAATTTAGATTATTTTTAATGTGTTTTATAAATTAAACAAGAAAATGCATACAAAATGCTCATAAATACCAACACATGAACAAAAGTATTTTTTCATACTCATAAACTAAAACTAAATACTTAACATGTAAGTAAAAGGCTGACCTCAATTTTCCCAGAAACTGAATTCAAGTAGAGAGAGTTTTCTCCAGATCTTTTCCCTTGCTCTCGCATTTTCTGAATCTATGTTATGTATCTTACGCTGGTCAACACTTTAAGAAGGTTTGTTCCCATTGAATCTTGTGTTCTGGGAACTGTAAAAGGTCCTTACGTGTCGATTTAATGTTGCATACTCTGAGAATGCAATTTTCCCTGCTCTTTTACGTGCACTAATACAAACCAGATTCTCTTTTTGGATACCGACCTGAATCGAAATACGGCTTTTGTCAAGCAGATATTAGCAGACTACATGGATCTTACGGCTCATCAGGAAAACAACTTCCTTGAAAAAGGTGAGCATGCATTACTTCGTTTGATACAGAAATTTCTCAAACTGATTGCTGATGAGTTACCAAAATACCAGGATATGTTTTCAGAGCTTTATACCCCCTCTTCTCAAGAAAACGCTGCTTTAAGCTGCAAAATGGATAATGAGGACATGGATTTTGAATTTGTTTGAAATAAACGATGAAGGCCACTTAGTTCCCTCTCCTCACCTAACAGCAATAGATACGCCATACTTCCAAACAAAGACAACGACATTACAATCATTGAAAACAAGGAAACCTCCGAAAAGCCTGCAAAGAAAATTTCAGGCCCTAAATCTGCAAAGCATCAGAAATTAAAAGCGTTATCTAAAGGAATATACAACACTGGAAACTTGAAATGTGAATGTGACTTATAGGAAATCTCCTAACCAGTTGCACCTGCCCAGGAGATCACGTCAGTGTTTACATCAGAGCAAGATGCTTCTATCACAGCAAATGAGGAAGAGCACGATGCACAGACTTCAAATATTCAAGGAGGAGCTCCAAACTCCCACATCAAAGATTCTGATTATTCATGAAAAATCCTGACTAAGCTTCTAGACGACTCTGGATATAAAGATTTCAAAGCCCAGATGAAATCTCAACAAGTCACGCTGTTGGAAACCAAAAGCATTAAATTTCACTCTTACCAGCTTGCTGCTGATAAAAATCCCAAAATCGCCATTCCTCAGCCTTTCAATACATTTCAATAGATATCTTCCAATAAGAAAAAATGCTCTTCAGACTGTTTTACTACTCACCTGCCTGTAAAAGATCAGTCTAGCATAAAGAACACGTACTGCCATTAACATGACACTATTAGAACACTGACCTAAATTACTAGATAACCTGTTTACGATTTCACACTATTTCTATTAATGTAAAGGGAGTAACAATCTTTAATGACAAGATTCTGCAAACTCAAAAATACATTCTACACTCGGTGAAATGTGGACATTGGCCATAAAAACAAATTTTTGAAATTCAGTAATGCATAGTCTCTCCACAGAACCAAATGCATAATGTTACATACAGTAAATAGAAGCAACTGCATTAAGATCTGCAATGGCATATTTGCAAAATTGGTGTTTATGCTATGAGTTACTATTTAACTTTATAAGGTTCTCATGTTGAACTAACCAGTCATTATGATTTTAATCTTTAACTTTTTCTTTCCATACTCCTCACTAGAATTCAAAATATCTTAAGACTATTTAAGCTGAGAGATTTTGAATCTTAGAGAATTTCTGACACTCACACAGTGTTAGAATTCAGCCAAGTTCTATCTAAATATAATTATCTCAGCTTTTGCATTTTTGTGCAGCCAGTTACTTTAAACTTAAGCATCAGTAAATTATTTGACCTAGCTTATAGCTTAGTTATTGCCTATTTAGACTACTGATCAATGTTTAAATTTATTTGACTATTATTATTTCAATTACATCGCTACAAGTAGTGATTACTTGTAGCATGAGCTGTGTCCTTTATGTTAAAAGTTAAGTTTAATTTTAAAACATGTTAAAAACCTGTGCAATTCTTTATCGTACTATTTCAGAAATAGCAATTCACTATTTGTCTAGTAGGATTATACGACTAAAATTCAAGTATTTCACTCAAGTGCAATCTTGTAACTTACATATCTGTTTCTTGTTTTCTGTCACAATTTTTATGATTAACTGTGGTTTTGCCAAATTTTACATATTTTTCACATACTCTTGATATTGCATGAAATGACCCCAAAGTTTAGAAATCATTAAAATCAAATATTCAAACTTAACTTTACCTATAATAATGTCCATAAAATTCACTTGAATTAATACTTTTATCTATGACAGTTATCTCTTATTTGCTACTCAAAGCACAGTCTTTGCACTTAGCTTTGAAGCATTTAAAGCATAGTCTTTGCACTTAGCTTTGAAGCATTTAAAGCATAGTCTTTGCACTTAGCTTTGTGAGACAAAGGCCAATGAAAATATCATGTTTGCACCGTCTCTTGATTCTTATTTACACATTCCTACCAAAAGTATGTATAACCATTTATCCTGCCAATATAAAGTTTTTATTAAAACAGATTGACATAATTTATTTTAAAAAATTATTTGCAGTAATTTGAAATTTTAATAACATACATCATTCAGTCATTATAAATTTGTTTTAAAAACTTAACTTTCAAGTTACCTTCCATCCTCGGTAATTTGTATTTTTAATAGCTGCCATATCAGACAGTGTCAAAATTGGATGATCAAGCCACAGCCTCTGGCACTGCATTGCACTTGGCTCCAAAATGTTAAAGGAAGGACCAATCGGGCAAGCCTATTAAAGTAAGATAAAAAAAATATCTATACGCATGATTGATTATAACATTTACCTTTTATTGCATTAAGCAATAACTAAAATATAATATTAAAAATCTTTCTCAAGCAATGCATAAAAATGAATTTAAAACATAGCAATTCTGTCGAATTTATATAACAGATATTTCAGAAAGCACTTCTAATAGTGATTCTATACAGAATGCTTATAAAAGACAATGTTAACAAATTTAATATGGACTTAAAAATTCTCAATTTTTAAAAAATTTATTTTTTTTTTTTTTATGTAAGCAATACACTTACGTAAAAAAAAGGGGGGGAGATGCAGCACGAAGTCCGAGATCTGGATCACCAGAACTTCAACAATTATGCTTTGATAGTTTTCACAAAAATTCAGGTCTAAGTTTCTGATACAAGTTTACAGACATAAAATTAGAATATATTTTCAATAAAATGTGTTACATATATTCTATTAACAAGAGGTTTGGTTTGATTTATTGAGATTATGGCAAAGCACCCTAGGATTATCTGCCTAAGGGGAGGAATGCCTTCGTGGAGGACTTTCTAAGGGAAACTGGCTCGTATACACGTTACACATGCAGCCAGCCCATGCAGCCTGCCCATTCGTGGGATTCGAACCTCGGACCCAACTACCAGTGTTCAGAGACTTTACCGCTCGGCCACTGGTAGGCCCTATTAACAAGTGATAACGGAATTTCAACAGCTAAGTCAAACTGCTGATTACTTCATTTAATAAACATAAATTAAAAATAATAAATATCATGATCATTTATAGAATAATTATGTTCATTAATATGAAATCAAAATAACTACTAGGAATAGGTAAATATGGTGTTCAAAAATCTCATCACAGTGCCTGACAGCTTTTAAAATATTTATTACGAAAATGTGAAAATAAACTTAACTGATTGTTATCACAGTTACCATAAAATATATTCACAGTTAAAACTATTTAAAGAACCACTTTTACATCAAATTTAGAAACCAAGTAGAAAATAACTTTTTCTTTGTTAGGCAGATAACAGTTTACTTGAGTAAAATAGAGTTATTATGCTGTTGATTAAGCTAGGTTATAATATATGTTGCTTTGATTGTGGCAAAGTGTGTAAGGGCAAAGTGTGTAAGGGCACCAGGATTTCAACCAGGTTGAACTAGCAGCATTTAACCACTTGCCTACTAATGGGCTATTTTATTTGCAGTTTTATGCTTGAGGTGAAAATCTTCAGTATATATATTTCGTGAATTTTGCACAGAAAAGAATGAAACTTTTTTTTTTAATTAGTGCATATTGACTAATTTACTAATCAGAATTTTTGTTCAAAAAACATAAGTTGCCAAATGAACACCAAAGCACCAAATATTGTAATCTGATTTCATTGCAACAATAATTATTTTAATCATACCATAGATCACTGTGTACATGTACACAGTAATCAATTTTCACTTCTAAAACCATCAAAGAATTGCACAAATACAAGAGCATACACATTAAACATTGTATATATTACAATATATGATACATTACTGTTATTACAAACTCATTATTTTTCATGAAGCTTTATGTATCATTAGAGTTGTCTCCCTCTGGTTAGATTTTGCTCTAACATTTAAGTGCTAAGCCATGTCCAATTAACAGAAAAGTACTGAATTTTTAAACAACAGGGACAGGTTCTCATCACATACCCTCAAATTAATATATATATATATATATGATTTTTAAATAAGTAACAATGTGATAAAAATGACACTATTACCATGCTCAATAAACATTTCAGAGTATTTTAGAAATCAAACATAAAACACATTGTAAATTAAAAGGAAAATATCTTTACCAAAGAAATAACAATGTCCTCCCTAAATGGGTCTATAGGAGGATTTGTCACTTGCGCAAAGAGTTGTTTGAAATAATCATACAGTAATGGTTGATAATGAGAGAGGCATGCCAGAGGAGCATCATTTCCCATTGATCCAAGAGCTTCCTTTCTGTTTATAAATATAAAAAGTAAATTAAAATTCCTCCAAGATAGAGTAACTATATAATACATTACTATAGTTAATTACATAATGCAAAGAATAAGATATCCACAGAAGTAGCACTATATAAGAATATGATTAGTAAGACTTATCAGTCTTATAAGTAAGACTTATAAGGTATTTCTCCCACCTTCTTAGCAATGCCTTTGTGGTCAGCACACTCGGCATGTATTCGAGAGGTCCGAGTCTGGCGAGGGCTTTGCTCATTTTTCATGTATCCTACTTCTAAATAACCTAATGTCTTTTCAAGACTACTTTTTTTTTTTTTAAATTTACACGTGAACTGAAGTTATAAGTACTGTGGTTAAAAAAAGAATGACATAAAATTAACCTTGCAATTCATAATCTCAAGTAGATTTTAGAAATAAAACATGGTATTTATGAAAGTACCATATTTTATTTCTAATATTTACTTACTTCTTATATCCTGTCTATGAATATCTATAATGTAAAAGTTTGCTACCAATGAATTATGAAAGTTGGAGGAGAACCCACCAAAATTAAGCCAATTATTCCTACAGGATTCCAAGCTGCAATTCTATCTGCAAGAAAATCTATCTGCATAAAAGATTCATGAGTATCTCTAGATAGGCTACCATAAAGCCACTACAAAGTATTCAATCAGATTTTCTTTTTGTGCTGTGTAAAAAGGCATTTGTCCATTTCTACTCCCTCTAATTTTACCATAAGCTCTATTTAGAACACTAAGAGCACAAACTTCCCACAAGTAACTGTTCCATTCCATCAAGTGTTTTGTCAACGATAGCCAGCTGTTCTTTTTCCCACTGTTAATGAATCAGAAGGTAATCTCAATTGTTATTCTATGGCACTTGAACCCTTTACCCCCTCCAACATGCAAGAATATATGCAGCAGTAATAATTAATTTATATCCTTCCTCATATAAAAACAAATGGAGGATCACTGAGAATTAATCGAGGATACATCAAACAAAGCACAAATGTTATGAGTATGTTGTGATGTTACTCTTGTCCATAATTGGCAATAAATCACACTGCTTGGAGACAATTTCTCAGTCAAATGGGTAACATACAAGTACCTAAAAAATTATTAAATCAAAAATAAATGGCAGATGAATGTAAATAAATTTTTATTTCAATGCAATACTTAAAAGAAATATTTTACTTTGCTGATAATATATACAATAAAATTTGTTTCCATCTTACAGTTGTGGAACTGAAAAGCAATACGAAATGATATAAATTTTATATATAATTACAGCTTATTTTATTTCAGTTTTGATATTGCTGAAAAATTCCACATGTCCCTTATAAGCAAACTAATTTCTCCTTCATTCAAAATCTAACAATCGTACTCTTATTTACGTGGGAAAATTTATATTATATAAAATAATTTATATGCAAACTTTAATTTATTTTACATTTTGGTATTATTTAACCAAATTACTGATAAGCATAAAAACAATTTATGTGAATGTCTTTCCTTCTACAATAAATTAATCAAGATATAACAGTTATAAATACTTGTGTTTTATCTCAGATCCTTAACTATGGTAGACGATAAGGTAACTTTGTAATGTTAATACTGACTTAATTGCTGAATTGGTAACTATGATTATGATCTAGCTCAGTGGACACAAGCACTTACTATAAGCAAGCCAAATACATATATCTGAGAGTAGTTGAAGGGCCGTAATTACTTTTTTTAACAAAACAATCAAATTTATATTTATTTTCTGTCTGAAATTTAAGGGTAGGTAACTGAAAAAAAAATTATTGGTCATAATTTGTAATTCAAATGTATTTAATTTAGAGGTATGTGGGTTAAATATTAAAATTTTCAGATTGGCATTTATTCAAATATGTGTAATATATTAAAATAACCACAAAATAACTTACTTTTAAACTAGAAAGAAATATTCGAAAACTTTCCAAGAGAAACAAAACTTCAGAGTAAATAATAAAAACCTATTTTCTTTTATTTATTACATTTTTCTATGCAGCACACACAAAAATGCATATTTGTATGTAAATAATTTGAAACTTTTTTGTTTTTTACTACACCTACAACACCTATAACCAGCAGATGGCATCAGCACCATATCGCATTGTAGAAAAAACCTACACTGAGGTTACTATAATAATATTTCTTAATATACCATTCAGAAAAACGTCTAAAAAAATAAAATTTTTGGTAATCAGCATTTTTTTAGGGGGCGGCATTTATCTGATAATTGAAAAGACAGAGTTTCAATGCTAAATTCTTCCCCTCCGTCATAAAATTTAACAAATGTCTACATCAATATATTGTTTCCCAAAAATTGCGATAATATCACATTTTATTTTCTAAGTAAGTGTTTAATTTCTTTGATTAAAAAATAAACTTTTTTTTTTTGTGTGTGTGCTTGCCACAAATATTAAATAATGTTTGAGATGTCAATGGCAAAAAAAGTATCTGCACAAAAAATTAAAGTAAATGTGAAAATCCGTAAAATATCGTTAAAATCTGAGTTTAAATAAAATTTTAATGTAAACTGAAAAATGAAAAATAAAAATTGCAATTATGAACTGTTTTCCCTTACCCAGTTTGAATCATTGGCATCAGAAGTAAAGTAATAGCTTCCGGGGTATATCCAAAGAGAGGAAGGTGTCGGCTTTTCATCACACTTTCAACATGGGCTGTTTCTTGAAGCTTGACACTTAGTGAGCATGATTTCAGTTTTTCAAGAGTTATCTAGAAAAATTCATCATTGCAACTGCATTCCATAGTTTTATATAAATTGTAATACACAGTAAATAAAGCAAACAAACATTTGAACAGATAAATAAGCTCCTGCAAAAACTAAAGATAAAAAATTTAAAGAACATTATACTGTTAGTTTATACATACAAGATGACCTTACACATAAAACAATTTTGCATGCAAAATGACATTAAGAATATGCTTGTAGGTGGTCTCTACAAGATACATAATTGAATAATCTAAATAACATACACATTGAGGTAATACAGAAAATTATCTTTTCTTTCAAAGTTAAAATTAGAAACTAAATGCTAAATTATTTTATTGCATTTTTTAAATGCTATAGCAGAATGGATGTAGTTTTCAGAAAGTGCATTTTGTAGTGTTATCATTATTTTAATCAACCAGTTATTATGATTTAGGTCTTTATTTTAACTTCTCCTTTCTGTTTCTTCACCAGAAATACAAATCAGAGAATATTTAAGCTGAGGTTTCTCGACAATAAGACTTCGAACATGGTCGCATTGTAAGGTTGCGTAAAGCTGGGTGGTCATACCGAGCAATAGGCCGCCACCTGCAGCGTACAGCCACTGATGTACAAAGATGTTGGCAGCAATGTTTGCTACCAGGAAATTGCCGATGAAATAAAGGCTCTGGTAGGCCAAGCACAAATGCGAGGCAAGATAGGATGATTGTTCGCCAGGCCCAAATTACCCCGACGATACCATTGTCGACTATTCAACGCACTACAGATATGTCTATACCTCCCATGGTACCATCTACCATCTCATAGCGCTTGTCTGAGGCGAGGTTACACTCACAGAGGCCTTTAAGACATTTGCCTTTGACTCCACAACATCGGCGGAGTCATCTGGAGTGGTGTCGCAACCGATCATCATGGCTGCCATATAGTGTTCAGCAATGAAATCCGACCACCGTTTTCGTGTTTGGAGAGGACGGGGCCAGCAGTCCCAATCAGCCTTTGTTTAACAAAGGCATATAGCCATAGCCCCTGGTGTGGTGTTGTAGGGCACTATTTCTTATGACAGCAGATCATCTTTAGTCATCCCTGTATATCTTTAACAGCTCAACGATATGTTGATACCATCCTGTGGCTGGTTGCATTACCCTTCATGGCACATTATCCTGCGGCCATTTTCCAACAAAATGTCAGGCAACATACCACTCACATATCTCTGAACTGTCTCCGTGTGGCTGATACTCTTCCTTTGCCAGACCTTTCACCAATCAAGCATGTCTGGATATGGTAGGCCACCACATTCGGGCATTACAAAATATCGTAGATCTGGAGCAACAACAGATGAATGCCTGGCTGAACATGTTGCAGGGATGACATTAGGAACCTCTACCACTCCTTGCCTTGATAAATTCAAGCATGCATTACTGCCAGGGGCGGTTCGACCAACTACTAATTTGGACACTCAGTGGGTGATTGTGAGCCGTGAACAAGAACTATGACCTTGATTTTTTAATCACTTTATTATCTGTGTATGAGCTATACACATATTAAATTTCATCAAAAATAACCACTTCCTTCATCATGCTTCGATTTTTTTGCAAAAGAGTGTATATAAATTTCTAGCTGCACTAAAAATCGTTGATATATTTTCACCTCCTGTAATTTTTAGAATAATGATTATAATATTTAAATTTATGAAAAATACCAGGATTAAATTTTTAATTTCATAGAATTCTTTTACACAGTCAAAAAAATAATTTAATTATGAAATTAAAATGCTGTTGAGAAAAACATTCATTTTTATACTCTTCCTTTTTCATGAACATGAAGAAAAGAACAATAAATATAAAATCTCAGAAAATTACTAGATATTCTGAATTCATAAATTTCTTCCAATATTTCCTACTTTCAATTTTTAATGTAATAATATACATGTGAATCATTTGGTGGGCAGTGAGAATGGATTCTATTTAACACATTTGGAGATCCTAAAATTGCAGTAATACCAAACCTTCTCCAACCTTTGAAATTAGTCCTGATAATTTATGCAATTTATGCCAATTCTTGTAACCTTCGTAAATCCAAAACATGTTTAGAAATTTTTTGTCTTTTTTTTTTTTTTTTTTTTAATTTTTTGTGTTGACACATTGTTTATTGTCATCTTGGCTTTGGATGATGGCAACTCACTTTATTATATACACTGAAGTGACAAAAGTCATGGGATACCTCCTAATATTTTGTTGGTCCTCCTTTTGCCCGGCGAAGTGCAGAAACTCGATGTGGCATGGACTCAACAAGTCGTTGGAAGTATTGAGCCATGCTGCCTCTATAGATATCCATAATTGTGAAAGTGTTGATGGTGCAGGGTTTTGGGCACGAACTGACCTCTCAATGATGTCCCATAAATGTTCGATGGGATTCATGTCGGGCGATCTAGGTGGCCAGATCATTCGCTGGAATTGTCCAGAATGTTCTTCTAACCAATCGCGAACAATTGTGGCCCGGTAACATGGCGCATTGTCATCCATAAAAATCCCATCATTGTTTGAGTACGTGAAGTCCATGAATGGCTGTAAGTGATCTCCAAGTAGCTGAAGGTATCCAGTCAGTGATAGGTTCAGTTGCACCAGAGGACTGAGTCCATGCCATGTAAAAACAGCCCAGACCATTATGGAACCACCACCAGCTTGAACAGTACCTTGTTGACAACTTGGGTCCATGGTTTCTTGGGGTCTGCGCCATACTCGAACCCTACCATCAGCTCTTACCAACTGAAATCGTGACTCATCTGACCAAGCCACAGTTTTCCATTCGTTTACGGACCAACCGATATGCTCACGAGCCCACGAGAGTCGCTGCAGACGATGTCCTGCAGTCAGTACAGGCACTCGAGTCGCTCTTCTGCTGGCATAGCCAAAGGAAGACAAATTTCGCCACACTGTCCTATCAGACACGTCCCTCGTACGTCCCACATTGATTTCTGTGGTTATTTGACACAATGTTGCTTGTCTGTGAACATTGACAACTCTACGCAGACGTCGCTGGTCTCGGTCGTTAAGTGCAGGTGGTCGGCCATTGCGCTGTCCATGGTGGGATGCTATGCCCGAAATTAGATACTCTTGGCACACTCTTGACACTGCGGATCTCGGAATGTTGAATTCCCTAACGATAGCCGAAATAGAATGACCCATGCGTCTAGCTCCAACTACCATTCCGCGTTCAAAGTCTGTTAATTCTCGTCGTGCGGCTATAATAACGTCAAAGCCTCTTCACATGAATAACTTGAACACAAATGAAAGCCTTGCCAAAGCACTTCGCATTTATACATTTTTATGCGATACTACTGCCATCTGTATATATGCATATTGCTATTCCATGACTTTTGTCACTTCAGTGTATTTCCAACTAGCTTAAATAAGCAAATTTAAATCTATGTAATTTTATCATATCATTTATATATACAGTACTAAATTTAAAATCCAGATGTACAGTATCTGGAATGATCTAATATCTGGACTTCTTGACACTAACCAAAAAATAAACAAATGAATAAAAGAATAAAAAATCTTCCCTTCACAAAATCTATCTATCTGTATATATATACATATGTAATAAAAACAAAGTCAGAAGTTATGACCACCAGGAATTTTCATGGCATAGAAGTATTGATCCATGATGTATACGGAATTTAATTAAATCTTCATTTTTTTATTTCAGCAAACATGTTGTGGTCACAATCAAGTTAGCACATTAATTGTGCCTAAACAGAAAAGTTTTACACTTTAGATAAATTTGCAGTAAGAAAGAAGGAGCAGATAGACTGCAGTCCAGCTAGGCCAAAGCTTAGAAAGCAAGTTATGTTCAGGGTGAAATCTTAATTCAGACTGAGTTTTGGTTCTGAATGCATTTTAAATGGATATTAATATTGTTGTAAAATTACTATTGGCTGCTAGAGTTTTAGTTCCATTTACATCACCAGAATTATGTAAGAATCATATGACATGAATTAATCTAGAAATGACGCAGTGCAAATAGCAGTTACTATTTTTAGAATAGAGATGGAAAATTAATTTACGCTGCTAATTTAATCTTTTACATATTAGTCAAAAGTCATTAATCCGGACACCCATAATCTGGAATGATCTATAATCCTGACCTCAAAGCTACAAACTTTCTGCGCATGCGTAATACTTTTACGCACACGCATATGCGTGTGTGCATGCGCATAATGCATTTACGCATGCACAATAATGTATAACGGAAGGTATAAGCTAAGCTAAAATTATCTAATTATCTATTTCAGTTAATGTTGCAGATTGCATTGTTCCTTAATCTTCGAATTGGATCCAGCTTATTATTTTTTGCAGACTGTTAGAGCAATTTTATAAAAGTAAGCTTGAACTTTCGATTATGTCAAATATTATTTCCAATATATATTTACTAATATGTAAAGGATCTACAAAGCGAAAGTATGTTTCGATGTCCATCAAACAAAAAGTGGAATTGCTGCAAAAAATGGATAAAGGCATATCCTTTGTTTCTCTAACCATTCCAAATCTGTTTATCAATTTCACGCTGCTGTGCAGGGGGGGGGGGACGTCGCGGCACGCAATGAACTGGAAGTTGATCTGTCAGCACTATCCTTATCTTCAGGTCAGATGTTTTTATTTTATTCAGCTTATAATTCCTTACTAAATGTAGTATTGCATTTCGATGTATTCTGTCTTTGATATGATTTAAATCAAATTCCTCGTCGTTATAAATATGACGAGTACACATCAAATAGTTTTCTGGTTGCAATTTCCTAATTTAGACTATGCGTAATGTATGCTTTACGCATGCGCGCATTGAAAGAAATGTTTAATAAAGTAAACAAATCGAGTAAGGATTAAAGACTTTTTACTGTATTTATTTTTATTACATATATATTCAACATATATAATATTCAACAAAATATAATATTCAACAAAATGAAAGAAGAGATTTTTCTGCCATATAGCTGAGATTCCTGCATTTAATTTTCAAATACCTGGATACAGATTTGCTACTTTGATTGACATAGTGATGTTGGCCAGGATCAGACTTTCGGCCCTTGAGTAATTGAGTAGTTGTGTGGGAGGGGGAACAGCCAGGATGACCCACTTTGTAGCCCAGTGCAATTTTTGTGGGTCATAAATTCTGCTGCTTAGTACCTCGCTAGATTATATTTTTTTGCTGCCCAAAACTTGTGTTACCCAGTGCAAAACTGAAATTCTAAAAATTGTACCATCCCTAATTCTTATTGCTGGGTGTTCCTTTAAATTCTTACATTTTTGCCATCTTTAAATTCTGCCACCATGCATGCTGGCCCTGTTGGGAGTTAGCATTCTTCTGTTTTGACCTAAAAAATAAGCAAAGTTCAACTGCTGCCATATCTATGTCGTCTTACAAAATTTAAACTGATTATCCAAAATTTGGAAATTTCCAAAACCCGGAATCGCTGAAGTCCTGATAATTCTAGATCTCAGACTTTTGTACTGATGCACACATATAGATATGTTTCTCTACAAGAAATAAAAATTGCTCACTAAATGTATAAAGCTGTATATAGAGCACTTTATAATTTCTTCATTTTATACTCACGATTTCTTAGCATGAAAAATTTCTCAACTAAACTTATTTTGTGATGCTCAGTAAATTCATATTATATGTCATCTTTCGTAATACATGGAGGTATACTGCATATTATATTGTTACATTTTTCTTTTCTTCTGACACCAGTTGTTGCACTATTTTCTTCCTTCACGTTCGTACGGGGTTCGTAGATTTGGAGTGAATAAGGACGACACTTGATAAAGTATCGAAACACACTTTATTAGCCAATATTGTCAGGACAGCTCCATAATACGTTTTACAGTCGTCGATGAACTACTATAAACACGCTGACATGATCAGCGACACTGCCTTCAGGTTATGTGCAGACAGCTTCACTGCAAACTTGGTGCAGACAGCTTCACTGCAAACTTGGTGCAGACAGCTTCACTGCAAAGCACCAAAGTACAGCTTCCGACTCTGCTTGGTCGTTCTCGGAACTCCACGTACTCTTGAGACTCTTCACGCTACAACTCGCGATGCACTCGACGATACACAAGAGTATAGCTCTCGACTCAGCACAGTTTAAGACAAAATGATGCACTAATTCGCGATACACTAAAAAACTCTCTCGATGCACTCGATACCAACTTGGCGCTAGACTTCGAGACACTTGCTCAATGACTGACTGTCAGCTCGCTAGATGAGGCACACACACTCAATATTGACTATCTCGCACTCTATGCGAGGCACACACACACTAACTCTCCCCATACCAGCAGGATTTATATAGCTTTTGGCTGGTGTTCGAGAACATTCTGGGCTAAACCGGTAAGAATTCGTTCCAGAAGGTTCTCCAACCATCCATGGCATATCGCCAATTTTGTCACCAAATGTGCGATTTCTCGCCAAATGGGCAACCTTGCTTTCCCTTGCCATTTTATGGCAACTCTAAAACTGCTTTGCGGGAAAGCTATCTTACCGCGCCTGTACATTTCGTAACAATATTTATAGAATAAACAGTTCATACAAGACTCTACCATCGTATAAAATATAAATATGTAATAGTTACAAGTTCTTCAAGCCACTTTTTTAATGGCCTTTGCTCAGCAATGCCCAGTTTCACTTCATCATCCCTCATGAAGACATGTTTCTTTACATCGACCAGCAACATACGTCCAGGTCTCAGACGACCCTGAAAAATGATGTCAAACACTGAGAGTTAATACAGTGTTATAAGAATATTTATTAGTTTTGGTTTGGTTTGGTAGTCAAGAAATAATTTTAATTTTTCTAAACAGATTATCTTTAAATTTAATTACACATAAACTTACTTTTAATTTTATGTTTTCTTTGGGTAAATCCAAAACTCCTATTTCACTAGCCATGATGACTTGATCATCTTTGGTCAAATAATAACGAGATGGTCTCAAACCATTTCGGTCTAGAATAGCTCCAATGTAACGACCATCAGAAAAAGTAACCAAAGCTGAAAATGCAGTTTAAGAAATTATCTCAATTCCTTACAAAATAGCTCTTAAGTACATAGAAATGAAGCACTAATAAAGAATAAAATATTATTATAAACAGCATGTTAAATGAATTTAACATAAATGAGGTGAAATTGAACAATAAAAATTGGTGTAATACAAGTAAATTGTGTAAAACAATAATTTTAAATTTCAAGAGCCCTTCTTCATTGACTGCAAGTGTGAGAGAAAAAAGTACTTGATCTTGTAAGCTAAATTACTTTTACTTGCATTACATCAATTCCTGTTGCTCAATTTTAGCCTTTTCAGATTACAGATAAAATATTGCTTTACAGATATGCTGAACAAAGTAAAAAATTTATTCAAAAACGTTTCTTCAGAAATTCAAACGCATGAATCTAAAAAAAAGATTAAAATAATTTTATTTGCCATGAAAGGACTATAAACAAATTAAAAATACTGTTTATTTTCATCAACACTTTGAAGAGTAAAAGCATTACTTTGTTAGAAAAAACTTCATTAAAATGTGTTTTAAAGATTCTCTAAAACTAATGCAAAATTACAAGAGAAAATATAATTCTTAATTTTAAACTAATGGTAAATTAAATTATGAACTATATTAATCTTTTATCTAATCCAACCAAAAATACAATAAAGGATTCTTTTTAACTTTGCTAAAACGTTTTGCGAGCCAAATTGCATAAAATCAAAGCAAAGAAGCAACTATTATTAGTTTACCAGCAAAATATTTTACCATTTCCTCGATATATCATTAATTACAGAATGAAAAATCACTAGTGAATTTGGGATCAAATTACAGAAGTGACAGAAAGCATTTCAAATTATCAGATTAACTTCCAACTAAGAAGTGAAGATTAGACAAATTCCAGTGGCAGAAGCATTTTAAAGAAGGCATTTTCAAGATGAGTCAAGAAAAAGGTGTTTATTAATATCATGAGCTTTAAGAATATTGGTTTTTTGGTTTGGTTTACTTAATTACAGCAAAGCACACTAGGGCTATCTGCCTAAGGGGAGGGATGCCTTCGTGGAGGACTGTCTAAGGGGAACTGGCTCGTATACACGTTACACATGGGGAAAACCACGAAAACGCCCATGCAGCCAGCCCATTCACGGGATTCGAACCTCGTACCGAACTACCAGTGTTCAGCGACTTTACTGCTTGGCTGCTGGTGGGCCTTAAGAATATTGGAAACGCAGGGATTGTAAAAAAGAATATAAAAATGAATCATGTTTACACAAGATCCATGTTCACTGAACAAAGAACATACACTCTATTATTTTTAGTACTATCTGGTATTTCTTCAAGGAGTGGGAAAAGATATGAAATTCTTGACAAAAATAATCATTACTGATGTATCTTGGATAAACATTAAAATTTTAAATTAAAACAGCAGTATAGTATAAGGAAACCCAGTGATCTACCACCTTCCAAAAAATTTTGGGCGTCTGATTCCACAAGTTTATGTTGACTTTAATCTTTGATATTCATAGGGTAGTGCTGCAGTGTTGGAGTCCACGGGGGGGGGGGGGGGGGAGACTATAAATAGAGATTACTACACTAATGTATTACAAGCAGAAATTTGCAATGCTCCTTGATGAGTTGTTTCATGAGATTAGTTTCTATATCAGGTTAATTTTAGATCGCATGTGGTATGAACTTTAAAGAAAACTGGTAGGCAGTTTCCAGACCCTCCCACATACAATTCAGAAGCCTGCTTTTGGAGGGTTCTCTTCCAAAACTCAAGAAGGAGTCAAGAAGAAAAGAAAGAATCGGGACACACAACAAAGAAAGCTGCCACATCCACTAGATGACACAGGAAATGCTCAGCAACTTTTATTTCAGACATTAGAGCATCTTTGGAAATGGTTATAGAAAGTGAAAGAGGATATTTAAAAAACGGAACTCTCACTTAACTTTCTAGCAGCTTGGACTTTAAATAGTGATCATTCACCATGAACTTTTACAGCAGCTTTCTCATATGTCAGTATATCTGCATTTTCTATGCTTGCTCTGATATCAAAAATCTAGTTTTGCTATATATTTTAGTATGCATAAAATATGTTATTTAGTTTTTGCATATAAGTAAGAGTGTACTTTTTCAGACAAAATACATTTGTGCATTATGAAAAAAGAATTAGTATCTAGTTTTTATCAGTACCCTGACAACTAATTATTGAAGGATGCTTGTAAACATTAACACTAGCATTTAGTAAATATATATATATACAAATCCCTAAACTAAGCATGAAACTATAATCTATATGCTTAATTAACACCATATAGATTAAATTTTTGAAAAATTCAAGACTAATCTACCAGGTCCATCCCAAGGTTCCATGACACAGGAGCTCCACTGATACAAATATTTCTTTTCTGTCAACATTAATTCATCTTTTTGCCATGCTTCTGGTACCATTGTAATAATAGCCTACAAAAAATATTTTAATACCAATTATTAAGATTATTCTTACATACAAGGACCATTTTATAAGTATTGTAAAAAAGCAGATTATATATATTAGTTTTCTTTAAAAAAAAAGCATTTCTAAACACTGTCTCATTTAGAGGAGAACATGCGTACGCTTAGTAAAAATGTGTATACAGTTAGTCCCATGTGTAAACATTTTTCATCCCGTCAAAATACAGCATTGTAGACAAAATAGACATTGACAGCACCAATGGCATCCCTGTTATGAGTTTCTTCCCACTCAACTAAATTTTCTGCTTTGCACTAAAGATTAAATCTGGCGAACAAAGTAAATAAGGGACAAATTCAAAATCTAATCCATACCATCTTAATGTTGTCACAGTTGATTTATGAAACACAGCATTGCTTTCGTGACAGAGTACCTTTTTACACATTAATTTTGGCCATTTTTATCTCAGCTGCTCTTTCAAACTGTCCATAAATAATAATAAACAAACTCATGTTATTATTTTTCCCACCCTGAGTAACTGATACTGATGATTCCTTATGAATCCCAAAAACCAGTGACTAACCCCCTTCCCAACTAACATAAAATGTTTTCTACAATCTTGGCATAATTTCACCATTTGTTGTCCTTTGTTTTGACTTAGCTGTATGATGGTGTCCTCTGCTTTGATTCAGTTATGAATTATTATCCACAGTCATGAATTACTACAAACCATCCTGCAAGCCATTGTTTCAAATTTTTAATCACTGTTCTGAAATCTCCTCTCCCATACTGTTTTTTTTCCCCTCCTCTTGCTGTTGTTGTTCTTTCAATTAAAAATCTATGGCCTCAGCAATCTTGTTTATTTCACATACCAGTCTAATATAATGATGATATGCACTTCTTCGATGATCTCAACTGCTGTAACCTCAAATGGGTATTCAGAGCATGCTTTTATTTCATTGAATGTTCAAATATATTTAAATCCATTTATCCAGAAATAAACTGTCTTTAGTTTTTATATAGAACCCCATAATGTAACCCAAAAAAATCCCTTTGATTTAAAAAGGCTTCTTTCAATAAAGATGTTTAACACCTGCACAGTTTTCTTTACTTTTGCTTGAACAATGATAATACCTTTAAAATTAGGCAAAAAAAAGCAGGCTTAGTTTGCATAGATTTTGAATACAGAACTTCAAGGATGATTGAAACATGTTTCTCCTCTTCAGTCAACCCCCACCCCAAAATGTACCTCTCCCTTTTTTCTCCACTAATCTAAAGAGGAAAAAAAAAATGTGTCTAATTGCTTTTGAAATCAATAGGGTATATTCAAAATCTATGCTAAACTATGCTTTTTTGGCCTAGTTTTAAATTTTACAATGACATGTTCTAATTTGCTACAATGTTTACTTTAGACATCTGAAGAAAGAGAACGTTGCTACAGAGCAAAATTCAGCTTCAACTAGTTTGAAGAACAAAGCTATGAGCAGTGGCATAACCAAATGAATTGGGATGAAACTTATAAAAAAATTTACTAAACTTATTAAACAACCGTTATAGAAACTAATATACACCTGTCAATATGAATGCATAAAACAGACATGGAGTTTTACTATCAACTAAAAAACTCTAAAATAACCTATGGGAAACTATTAATGAACTTTTCCAAAGTGTAATTAATAATTTTTATGCATAATTAATCCAAAAGGTCAAATAAACAATAATGACGGTATAAACATTTACACAAAATAATTTTTGTAACTTTTCAACAAAACATTCATGTGTCACAAAAATATTCTGAAAATGACAAAAAGCACTCATGGTCACTGGAAATTTGTGATTTAAGCCATACTTTCACAAGGCAAAAGCATAGTATGCTATGAAAACAAATTTTAATTATAAGCAGTTTATTAAAAAAGAAAATTTACTTCCGGCAGAGAGCGCTGCCCAGCCATTACAAGAAATTCTAAGACATTATCTAAGCTTCCTGAGTCTGACATCTGTGGCTCAACTACTGGAAATAGTTTCTTCAAGTCTTTCCCATAAATAGAACTTTTCATTACGCCTTCACGAGCTCTCATGAGATTTACATTACCTCGAAGAGTGTTAATTTCACCATTGTGAGCCAAATACCTGCAAATAATATACAATAAAAAATATAATAAATAATAATAATAAAAAATTCAAATCACAGTTTTCCTTTTAAATAGAATAGAAGATTATGAATGAATTTTATCAAATATTTTAAATTATTCATATAAATATATTTCAGATATTTAAAGCATGTTTTAAAGTTAACCAAAGAGATAGAGATATTCCCTGTTAAATATTAAGATGATTCTATCTCAGATGGCTTTATACTGCAATATACTATTAAGATTGAAACAATCAGGAAGAGAAAAGAAATTAACAGGAAAAAAAGCTCTTACAATACAAATTTTATTAAAAGAAAACACATTATGAAATAAAAGTATCGTTTCTGATTATTCTACATTAAAACCTACTTGTGCAACTTACTTTCTTGAGAAATTAAAAAAAAAAAAAAAAAAAATATTGTGCCAACACTATTTTTTTGAGGGGTGGTGAGAACTTATTGCTTTTAAAAACATTAATGAAAATTTAGATTAGATAAAATATATTCTTTTCTGTAATGGTTAGGTTTATTTAATTACGGCAAAGCACACTAGGGCTGTCTGCCTAAGGGAAGGGATGCCTTCGTGGAGGACTTTCTAAGGAAAACTGGCTCGTATACACGTTACACATGGGGAAAACCACGAAAACGCCCATGCAACCAGCCCGTTCGCAGGATTCGAACCTCGGTCCGAACTACCAGTGTTCAGCGACTTTACCGCTTGGCCGCTGGTGGGCCTCTTTTCTGTAATGAATTATCCAGTGATAAATATAATATGGTAACTTATATTAAAGTATTAAAGCATTCAAATACAACATCAATTAATAAAATGACTAAAAAATTAGAATGGTTACATAAATGCAAAATACATCATTATTTAAAATAATCTCCCTGTGCTGCAGTATATCTTTCCCATTGTAGTGTTCTTCCCTTTTATCTATTAACTAAGTGTGGAAGAAACCTAGTGAATAGCTAAGCAAATAATTGCTCAAGTCCAGCAATAGAAGTGCAAAACTCAAGAAGGGTTAATTACCTTTTATTGCTCAAACTTAAGGTGTACAGACGGCTTTCTCAGGACGTACAACAAAGCCTCCACTTGGACTTAAACTCCAGAATATAAGAAATAAGAACTTAACTAATGACTAAAAAGATTTAGCTGAAGCTAACACAATTCTAAGTAGTTGGCCCTTAAATATCGAATTAGCTAGCAAAGCTATCAAGGACCTGTAATATGACCAAGTGTAGTAACAGCTTGGAGAGACGTGGGCAAACGTGTACTACGTCAGAAACTCTGATTATCTCTATCAAAGTCAGTGGAACTTCGATTTAAGTACTACACCTTCTCATCTGCATTTAACCCAATTCTAAAAACACATTCTGGTAGGGAATTGTAAGATGAAATTAGGAGAGATAAGAAAGGAGCTTTTACTTAAAAAATATAACTGTTATAAACTTATAAATATCGAACCTAGTGAACTTTACACCATGATTTTCGAAATTATTTTAAACTTTGTAGAGATTATTAAAGCATTCTTTGTAGAGATTCTTTGTAGAGATTGTTTGGAGGGTGCCCATTCACTCTCAAACTTCTGCAATGTCCTGCTTTACTTTAGTGGAGAACACCGGGGACTAAATTTGCATAATGGTATGTAGCAGAATGTCCCACTTGCCGTATGTGATAAACTTTGTTCTCCATATTGTCAATACAAAGTCTTAAGATTGCGCCAAGTGAGAAATCAAACAGTCCAGGTTATTATTAAATGCTCTTGTACAGGTTTAAAATTAATACATAAACTTCTAAAAACATTATAAAACAAAAATTTAATTTTTTAGGATTGTTTAGTTTATGGCAAAGCACACAAGTGCTATCTACCTACAGGAAGGGATGCCTTTGTGCAAGAATTTTTAAAAGAAACTGTATCATGTTCACATTAAGCATGGAGAAAACCACAAAAACTGCCCTGCAGCTAGCCAATTTACCTCGATTTGAAGATAATCTGAACTACTATTGTTCAGTGGTTTTACCACTTGGCCACTGGTAGGCTCTTAAGTCTACTGAATGAATGATACTGTGTGTATAAAGCAAATATAAATGGTAAATGGATGAAAACATAAAAGAAAATCATATAGTTAATGAACAAAATTAGGATATAAGCTTCAAAGAAGATAATCCCGATTCTTAAAATACCATATTTACTTTATGCTGTTTTCCTCACTTGCATTTTATTACATGATTTAGAATGATAGAAGATATTTCCAATAATCTTCACTTTGTTCCCTAAATTTAGAAAACTTAAGAACAATCATATTATGCAATAATCACAATAATCTAAAATATTATAGTTGATATTCTTTGCAGAGGCATTTCAAGGCACTGATTCAGTCTTTCAAATCAGGCCATTCATATTCTCTTGTGAAAATTAGAAGGGAAGTAATAGAGTGGCCAGATTATAGAGTTCCTCTAAAAATGATTCAAACTCTGCAAATATTCTGATGAGTGCATAAGATACCTTTATACCCCATGGGAATGGGCATCTTTTGTTGCTCATTCACCTCCAACACTTGTCCACATCCGGTTATAACAGGATACTATCAGCATAATTTTCTCTTTCTATTGGGGTTATGGCGAAGCATTCAAGGACAAACTAGTTGAAGGGAAAAATGCCTTGTGCAGGACATTCTAATGGAAATTGGCTCGTATTGATGTTACACACGGGAAGAATCAATAAAACTCCCATGCAGCCAACCTGTTTGTCTGAATATGAACCTGAGACAAATTACCAGTGTTCAGAGCTACAGTTTCTTGAAAATTCCTTCATAATTTAATTTTACAGAGTGTTAATAGAAATAAGAAACACACAGATTTTAATAATGTAGCTTAATAAGGCATTTTGCTTTTACCCTCCATCAAAGTATTGAATAGCAACATATAATATATTTAAAAAATCTCTTCCGAATCCATCTTAAATCCAGTTTGGAAAAAAAAAAAGTGCATACAAATGTCATGCAAAAACATCATTCAAATGGATTGAGAAGCCAAAATGGATATTATCATTGAAACACGATGCCTGAAATTTTTCCCAATTATAACACTTCCTTTACTTCATAGAAGGAAGTAAAAAAACTGAAGACACTAACTAAAAATGCTATTCAGTATAATTTTTCCTATACACTTTTAAATGCTATACATTCTCTTTTTTACAGCTTTGCTATAAAATAGTATACATACATAATTTTGTTCTCCCCAATTCAAAATTAGTTTAAAATAGGGATAAAATTAGTTTTAAAAAATCAAACCTGAGTGGATGAGCTCTCTCCCAAGTAGGAAATGTATTTGTTGAGAAGCGTGCATGCACAATAGCAAAATAAGTTTCATACAAAGGATTCTGTAAATCTTTGAAGTACGTCCACAGCTGGCTTGATGTTAATTGACCCTGCAGATAATAATGAAAAAAGATAGGAAATCTAAAAATGTAGCAGTTTTAAAGTCTGTAAACTTCTGGTGAAATCTTATGTAGCAAAAAGAAAGGAAGTAACTGGAAAAAAAAAAATGGAAATGTTTGCAAATTACTCATGAAAGAGAATTTACTTCTAGCTTTTCCAACAAATTTCTTAGTATTATTCATATAATTTGCTTTTAATTAACATATTGTTTAAAAAGTATGAATTAGAGGCATAAAAAAAAGAATTTGTCACCACAGAGGATGTCAATAGTTAGGTTAAGACCTTTACCATAAATGCAAATTATTATTAATTATATAAGGTGATTCTAAAATAATTGGCAGAAATATAAATGTACATAAAAGGGACTGAAATATGCAGATTTTATGAGGGAATGTGTATGAGAAAACAATTGCAGTTAAGAGAGCCAGAACACAGAAGGAAGCCAGGAACAAGAGATAAGTAGAGAAAACAGTTAAAGTCGAAAAGAAACAGCATTTGAATAAGTAAACTTTTTACTGCATGTGCTTAGAAGTATCACCATCAACAATATTATAAGATTCACAGTGGCAGTGCATGGATTATATTAGCAAAGGTCCTATGGATTTCCCTCATACTTCCAGCAACCACTAAATATTCATCCTCAATCTCAGTGGGACTTCCATACATCATGTGTCCTAATCCAGACTTGGCAAATCAGTTAATTGTGGTGGCAAGGAACTGGTCCAAGGCATTTGATCCAATTGATAATGTAATTAGAATAAAGTAATTTCTAATATTGCTCAATTAAGCTGACACTCCATCATGCTGAAACCATATTAATGTGCAAAAGGTGGAGAATCAGAAAGAAGTTCCAGCAAGAAATGTAGAAAGATGCCATATGTGCAACTGTTCAAGCAGGTATATAAAATGCATGGTGCTGCTAAATAGCTGTATGCCACAACAGCCAAACCATTAATGAAGAATCTGCCCAGAGAGCATTGATTTCATGCTATGTAAATTTCATATACTCAAAGATGAGAATAGTAAATATTAAACATATTCAAGCATGTAAACACAACCTCATCAGTGAATACATGTATGAAAGAAAGTCAGGCTTCACGGTAGCCTGCTATAGGTGCAAGTAAAAGGTTAAAATACAGTTGATAATAGTCCACTTTCAATGCCTACAATTTTTGCAAATGATATGGATGAATTTCTTCCTACCTCAAGTCCCCAAAATGGTTGGCTGGCTTACAAACAATGCATATTCAACAGCAATTATATTTGCAACTAGATTAAATTACATATGACAGCTGCTTCTTCTGCAGCACCTGTGGCAATGTTCTCCGCATGGCTTCTATGTAGTACCTACCGCTAGACAGATCAGACTTGCAAACATGGAATGAACTTTCATACAGCTCCTACTTAATATACTCAAATGTTTGGCAGGTGTTTACTCAATTTTCTGAACATCTTTGGGCAGCTGTTCCTTTTCCATCAAACCCCATATATAAAATATATTTGAACTTCAGGTTCATATAATAATGCATACTGCTCGAAATCCACATGGGGAGTAACAATTTATGCCACATGGCTTTCACCTATCAATCTCAACAACACACTACTACCTCAGCAAGACATTTTCAAAATTTGTTATTTGTGTGCTTTCTACTTGTCTTTACATTTTTGCCGGATATTTTAGAATTAATATGTACAGTACAAAGTCTCTAATTCAGACATCCATTATCCGGAATGATCTATAATCTGGACCTCAAAGCCACAAACTTATGCATGCGCGTTTGATGCGCGCGTCTGCTACGCATGCGCATAAAGCCAGTAAAGCGTTTACCCATGCGCGCTTCCAGTAGTGAAGAAAGTAACAGAGAACATTATTGAAAACGAAAAAATTACGATTGACAAGTTAGTCGGTATTCTCGACACAGCAATTACAGGACTTGAACAGTGGAATTTTGTAACTGAACAAAAAATTATGTCTGTTTATAGAATTAAAGAGAATTAAAAAACGAAGCAACTTAAACAACTTACATTAATAGAAATGTTTACTAAAGTAAACAAATAAATATTAAGCTTTTTTTTTTTTTTTTTTTTTTGTTAATTCCGATACCCCTTTAGATCATAATTGCTCTTTATTTCATAAATTACGGTTTCATATTTTTAATTGTATAATTTTTCTGCATGCCATCTTACCAGATTTAAATTGATTATCTATAATCTGGAAAAACCCCTAATACGGAATCGCCGACATCCCAACCAGTCCAGATTACGGACTTTGTACTGTATAATATATAACTATACAATGTATAACTGCACAAATATAAACTATTCATTAATATAAAAACAATTATTGTTTTATAACCATAGCAAATTTGTCTCAGGAAAGAAACATAAAAATTGCATTTTGTTATGCATTAAATATAAAAATCTAAATGCTCTTTTAAGAATTCTATAATACTGAGAATGTTGCATTAGTTCATATAGTAATGAATTTTGCATTAGTTCATATAGTAATAATGAATTTTATCATAGATTTTTAATAGTGTACAAATGCTTAACAAATGCATTTTTAAAATTTATAATACTTAAGTATCTGCATTTAAGATTAAAATTTCCTCCCATAATGTTGTACAGACTTTTGTTTAAAAGTTGCAGTTTTTATAATTATCAATTATGAAACATAATTAATTAAATCAAAAGAATACGAGTTCACATAATTTTGTTATTTCATTTTCCTGTCCATTATTTTTAAGGCTGAAATATTAATAATGAAATAAATTTTATTTTATTAAAGCACATTAATCATAGGTTCAAAATGATTTAAAGAAATATATAATTGCAATTATGAACATTTAGAAATAAATGTTAAGATAATTAACAGTTAATTTCGACAAAAGAAGAAAATGTCTATTATTCAGATATACAAAAATAAAGCAATGTTTATAACAACTATAAATATTTCTCCCAGCTAATTACCATACTATGTGTTTACTTCATGACTAATATATTTATGAAATTGGTTTTCAGTTTCCCATAAAAAATAATAATTGATTTACCTTATAAACAATAATATCTGTAGACAAACTGCAAATATAGAATCTGCTGAAAGACTTCTGAAAGCAGTAACTGGAATATTTTCGAAGTAAATAAACCTTAAAATAATAAATGGAAAAGACTATGAATGTCAAAATACTGAAGTAAATGCACAGGAATAAAAGTTAAAAGAATAAAAAGAAATGAGTAACTGCATTTTAGCAAATTTTTCTTAAATTATCAGCAGGCTTTTGGTTTTACAGCAATTGATTAAATGTATTTGGAGTACTAGAAAAAGTAAATTGCAGGAAAGTGTAGTATTTAAATATATGTAAAATTATTTTTACAGACATTTTTGAGTTGTAAATTATACAACTAATTAATTTAGAAATATATTTATAGAGAGTATTGAATATTATTAAACTAAATTTCACTACCTAGCATTAAAATACAACTTACTATAAATTAAAGTAAACAAATTTCAGAATACATATAACTGTTACATTATCTCTACTCAGCATTCAGCAATCTATTAGTCAATTCATACAATACTGGAAGCTGGTTTTTTTAATACTATTTATACTTCGTAATTTAAAGATATACTTAACATTAAATTTATACAGACATCATAGTGCCTATCATTGGACCAAAATGTCCAATACTGTTTCTTGCTCAGCACTTATGTGGATCTATGGATTCCACCATCTCTTTGATCTACATTGTTTCAAAGATTACAACTTAATCATCAACAACACAAAACTGTCTGTTCAGCAATCAGTCTAACTCTTCCAAGCAGATCATCAACTTCTTCATCATCTTTCACATTACTTTCTTATTCACTGACCCTGAAGAGGATTAGCTTTCAGAAAACACTTGGACAATGTGGCTTCTTCCATATCTTTACAATATAATGTAGGACATCGAGAACTGAAACTGAAGATTGACTCCTCTTCTGTTTCATCAAACTTCCCACAGCACAATGCTCTTTCTAGAATAATATTTGAAAGCCTGAATTATAAGGTCCAAAGGCTGCAAATTGCTTGCACAGTTCACAAGCAAGATTTCAAGCTGCACATTCCTCAAGGGGAATTTCTTTAGATGCACAAAACAGCAATCAACAAGCAGAATTCTCCTAGTCTGTTCTCTCATCTTTAAATCAAGAGCATGCATTTACCTATCAAAGATGTCCTTATCATCCATGCCATCACATTTATCACATTAGTGCGAACAGCACCTTCATATTTTTAAAGCAAAGTGGCCTCCTAGATTTGCCACTTACCAGAGAACAAAGTTTCTAAGAGCCATTGTACCCAACATCATAATAAGGTGCATTTTAGTACATTTATTTCCATGTCACTTTCTCCCCTTTAAATGGCAAGGTTTTGCTGGAAAGGACACTGAAAAGAATTACCAGTTTTATCAATGTTCAAAATGCTCTTGTAAAACCAACATTAAAAATCAATGTTTTAACAACATTAAAAATTTTCCTTGACTGCACACTGCTCTACTAGTTCCTTCAATCTACCCTCTGATTTCAATCACAGATATTTTTAGTATCCACATTATTGGACTTAATGCATGCAGTTTTACGCACCCTATTCTAGTGCTTTTTGAGTCTGGCAGTCAATCAATTTGGTGCCAAGAAGTTCAACGCCAAGCCTATTAATCACTTTGCAAGAGTTTTTTTTTTTTTTTTTTTTTTTTTTTTTTTTTTTTTTTTTTTTTTTTTTTTTTTTTTTGTTTTTTTTTTTTTTTTTTTTTTTTTTTTTTTTTTTTTTTTTTTTTTTTTTTTTTTTGTTTTTTTTTTTTTTTTTTTTTTCAGTTTTTTTTTTTTGTTTTTTTTTTTTTTTTTTTTTTTGTTTTTTTTTCTTTCATGCAGCAGCATGTTATTAAAATGTTGGAAGCATGTGTAAGTATTTCTTCATTATGTTCTCTAGCTCTCCATATTTGATTAACGCATTGCTATATTTTGTGAGTCGGACATGTGTCCTTCAACGATAATCCACCTATTTGAAGATCTATAACTTCTACTCTATACTCTACTAAATAACATATTCTTCCTCTTTATTATTATTTTAATTTTTATTGTTATTTGTCCAATTCTGGACAAGTAAAATGTTTCTCGCTTCTATTAGAAATAAGAAAACAGTTCGGTTGTAGATGCAGCACAAAACACGCCAGGGTGATAGACTACAAAAGCAACAAAACAGCAAAGATGCAAGCAACTGATAAACTGAAGCTGAGAAAATACTGGTGACTGCATGACTTGATCATATTTTAGCCTTTAGTACATTTTGACTTCATTTCGGTAATGACCGGCAGCCTGCTGAGCATTTCATTTTTTCATTTTTTCATTTCTTTCTTTTTTTTTTTTTTTTGTTTTTTTTTTTTTTTTTTTTTTTTTTTTTTTTTTTTTTTTTTTTTTTTTTTTTTTTTTGTTTTTTTTTTTTTTTTTTTTTTTTTTTTTTTTTTTTTTTTTTTTTTTTTTTTTTTTTTTTTTTTATTTTTTTTTTTTTTTTTTTTTTTTTTTTTTCTTTTTTTTTTTTTTTTTTTTTGTTTTTTTTTTTTTTTTTTTTTTTTTTTTTTTTTTTTTTTTTTTTTTTTTTTTTTTTTTTTTTTTTTTTTTTTTTTTTTTTTTTTTTTTTTTGTTTTTTTTTTTTTTTTTTTTTTTTTTTTTTTTTTTTTTTTTTTTGTTTTTTTTTTTTTTTTTTTTTTTTTTTTATTTTTTTTTTTTTTTTTTTTGTTTTTTTTTTTTTTTTTTTTACCTTTTATTACAGGTGGACTTTTTTTTTTTTTTTTTTTTTTTTTTTTTTTTTTTTTTTTTTTTTAGCCCTTTTAGTTAAATCAACATGTTCTCTTTCTGTTCACTTGTATATAAAGACCAAATAGTGAGAAATTCAAAATAAATAAATATAAAAGCAAGAATTCAAATGAATTGCGAATACAGGAAAATTAAAGGGATCGGAAAAAAACACCGTAAATGGCAAGAAAATGTGATTTCCAAGAATGTAAAAGCAGGGTTATACTGTATTTTACTGTACACTGTATTAAAATAACTTAGTTATTTAAGTATTTAATTTTAAAAATACTATACAAATAAAATTATCCAAGATAAATGAAAAAAATTAATTTAAAAAAGAGACAAGACTTGCATAAAGACTGAAAATGTTGCAAAAATATTTCATGTTTACATTTCAAAATACAATTGACATCATACTTAAATTATTTTGAATGAAACATAAAAAAATCACATTTCATTTAAAATAATAATTTGAACAAGGCCATTTCTATTTCCTAAATCTAAAGAAGTTTCTGACAGTGCAATCATTATTTCACTCATTATTGGATAAAATTGATAATAACAGTGTACTACATAATAACAATATTTTTCTTAGTGTAATGCAAAATATATCTTTGAATGGAATTAGGCATTGATATATAGATAAGTTAATTAAATGAAATACAATAGATATATATGTGATAGAAAAGACGACATATCTGTGTTGATGGCTCGTAATGTAGAATGTTGAATCCATAATGAGCAGCAAACTTAGCAGCCGGGCAAAATTAAATTTTTGAAGAACATTTACATTTTTGATACTGTTGCAATAAGAAGAAAGCAGAGCGAAATTCCATCTTAATAGGAAGAGAGGCAGAAACTAAAGTGTGCAGTCAACCCAACATAAAAGCTCACCAAGAAAAGTTTTTGGTTTAGGTCGCATATTAACCCTTTTGCGATGAGTTTTTCTTTTTTTTTTTACAACAGAACAATTTTGATCACATAAACTATGAGTACAGCACACTAGAATGCTAAAAACTAAGATGTTATATTTTTAGAAAAAAATTTGAACACTGATTTAGGACCGGGACATATGTGTCCCATCAGTCCTGACCGCTTGGACATATATGTCCCAGTAGTCTTCAATGAGTAATTTTGTAAAGAAAACCAATGATTTTCTAGTCATAAAAATTTAATTACGGATGGTATGGTTTGAAACAATCAATGCACAATGCGACATTGCACATCGTGCACATTATTTTAGTATGCAATTCCTTCTTTTGTAGTGCAAATTTACGGCACCGCCGTCATGTTTTTGTTGTTACTGGCAGATGGTCACCCACATTGAGTAAGCTTCGTGATGTTTTGGATGGGGCGTCCAGTTCCTCTATGTCGTTGATACTGTGCGTTGAGCTTTCCGGATGCCATCAAGGCTTCTGCAAGAGGTACAATGAAATCAAGAAGTGGGGTTTCTCGATGTTTGAGTTCACAGTACGCAATCCATGATTTAACCACTGTGCTCATCAATAGGTGAAAAAATACTTTTTTCCACCACTTGCAAGATTTTCGATCTAATTCATAGACATTTGCCATTTGATCTGCAAGGTCTACACCTCCCATGATTTTGTCGTAGAATTCGATTGCCACAGGGCACTCAAATTCTTCTTTGCTTCCATCTTTCATGGTGCGATTTACTTTTGTGTATTTAGCTTCATGGCTTAGCAACATCACTTCCTTTGAATCAAGCCACCTCGCACACAATGTTCCATTTTTAGTTACGAGAAACTCAGCCTCACCCCTTTTGCTTAGTTTTGTTGCAAAATTAGGAACATCTTTGCGTGTCTTGATGCATGTACCAACAGCAGGAAATTTCAGGGTTTCCATCAGGTGCACGCTTGTAAAAAATCGGTCAAACGCAAGCATTACGTCTTTACCTCGGATTGTCATCATTAGCTTTGATACTACCCGTTCCCCGAGTGTGCCTTGAACTTCACCCATTTCTTTTCCGGAATAAATGTTCATGTCATATACATATCCTGTTTTTGAATCACATCGCTGCCAAATTTTTATCCCTCTTTTCACAGGTTTCATCGGCATATATTGTTTGATGGATGAACATCCCTTGAATTTCGCCATTGATTCATCAATAGATTGATATGAGCTTTCGCTTCGGCACTGTTTGAAGGTTTGTTTCAGGTACGAAACAACCTCGTCAATATAATATGTTTTACTTGCATTTTCTGGCTTTTCTGGTGCAGCAAAATATAGTTTCGACAGCAACGTTTTACATCTGTCTCGTGAAATAGCATTTATTGCTAAGTTTCCCAAAGAAGGATTAGATGACCGATAATGAGAGAATTTTGGCACTCTATGGTAAGACATGACAAGCATGCATCCAAGGACAAGCATAATTTCAGAGGAGTCTGCAGGGCGAATTGTTTGTCCTAACTTTTCGAGTTGTTGGTTTGTGCATTGAGAGATCCAAATCATAAGACTTTTTGGAAATATCTTGAGAAACACGTCCGATTTGGTAGCTGAACGATTTAAGTTGAATAACAAACTAGGCGATGACTCTGCTGGAATTGTCATTCGAGGTTGGAAAGTTGAATCTGCATGAAACCATAAGATTGGTTTGCTGCCTGAAACATTAGCTGATGGTATCTCATCAACTGATGAAAGTGATGCCGTATCAGTATCACTCAAAGCATCGCTGTTCTTTGTATTTTGGGGAATGGTATCATGATCGATATCCATTTCATACTCGTCTGAATCGGATGAGTACTGCAAATTGTGTGTTGGATCTTGAAAATCGGGATCGTCTATTTTATCATCCAAATCAATATCTTCATCATCTGACTCTTCTAAAATTTTTTTGATTTCTTCATTAGTTAGTCCCCGGCGTCGAGTCATTTTAGATTGAATTAGTATGTGCCTAAATTAAAAATAATAAGCAACTATTTCAAAAGTAACCAAAAAATATAATATGTAGAGAAATGATCACATAGGACTATTGGAACAATGTGTTCCCACTATCCAAGACGAGAGGGACACATACGTCGCGATAATAAAAACGGAAGTAAAACTTTGCCACTTACCAGTTTATTAGAGGTATGCTTCGTGAGTAACTTATCTGGCCTTAGATTTATGGATAAATCAAAATTTAATCGAAAATAGGCAGTATTTTCCAAAACTAAACTATTTACGTTCGTAGAGTATGGAATGAGCTGCTACAACACACCCAAAATGCGGGAATTGCATTATGTACGGTAGTGCCATCTATGTTTTGTGAATGAAAACACCTTCAAAAATATTGGCAGGACTGATGGGAAAGTCTCTCATTAGAAAGAGAAGCGTTTATATCCCAAAAGTATTTTTTGAAATTTGCTTGGGATGTATGTGTCTCGTTAGGCACGAAAGGGTTAAGAGAAAGGTTTTCAGTTCTCAAAATTTTGAAAAAAAGTCTGATAGTAAGAAAAAAGGCCTAAACACAGATTAAAATAATATAAGCCTTTATAGATGTTCTAAATAAATATTATTATGGAAGCATGTCATTTCATGAAAACGCTAATATAAATAATACTAAAAATTGAAAATATTATATAGTATTGCTTCAAAACCTTTCGTTTAAACTCTTCTTTGGAAATGCTTTTACTAGTCACAAAAACTTGAAGCATCACAGGTTCAGAAGATTTTGCAACATGACCAAGATTAGTATCATCTACTTCAATCTCTCTCCAACACAATACCTGTAAAAGAAATTAAGGCACTTATCTAAATTAAAATATATTCATAAAGATTAACATTTCTGCACTTCTAAGAAACAGAGAAAAGTTTATATATATTATACATTTTATTTAGGAATTTTTAAAACATTTATAGCAAACCTGTGTTAACATTTCATTAGAAAACATATAAAGGCCTACAGATGCTACAAGAATGTCAATATTTCAGTCTAACTACTTTTATTTAACTTACAGAGATAGTCTGTGATTCTGTGAAAGAAAAATGTCATATTGAAGAAAATCTGATATATTTCATTTTTCATATTTAAATGTGACAGTTGCCTTCAAAAAATATAAGCATCCAAAAATATGTGTGCTGGGAAACACTGATTCACCATCTTAATTTGTTCCTGAAGATAGTTCTTATCTGAAATATTATTAAATCGAAACAATTTTCTCCATAGGAAATTATGTAAAATTACTTAATCTGTTCCTGGATCCCCAGTGAATGCTTAGAAAAGATTACTTTACATATATAAGTTTGTTTTCCAAACTCTGGAATTCATTAAATCAAACACACTATTAACATATGTGCAATATTTAACACAATACTAAATATGTAAAAAATGGGAAAACTTGAATTAAATTTTGCCATATCTCTGTGAAGTAGTAAGGTAAAGGTAACAGCATAAGCAGAAAATGGTGAAGAACAATGCGAGCAAAATATGATAGTTTGAAAGAGAAATCTTATTCCACAAAAACATCAAGTAGCTGCTGTCTTTCTGAGGTTTTTTTTTTTTTTTTTTCCCCTTATCACTGCTTACCTATACTTGAAAATCACTAAGCCTTTGTCCCATTAAAAAAATTTCCACTATGATTTGTTTCTGTCTATGTTTTAAAATGTTCTTAAAGCAAGGCATGGCACTGTCATTTCAAATATTTATGCTATGGCTTATTACTGTTCTATCAGGGTGGTAATGTTCTATGAACTTTTGCACTTTACCTCCATTTTTCATAAATTTTGGAAATCAAATAATTAGGAACATATTTTCTTTCATCTTCTTCACTGCATTTTGAAATATCATTTGTTGTTGGCTTACTTGTTCACATTTTGAAACATCATTCATCATCCAAGACACTTTTTATTTGAAAAAATTTGTCTGTGAGCAAATTTGTTCATAAACCAAGGTATTCGTGAATCAAGGTTCATGAACACCTGTACCTAGAACTTGAATATTAAAATAAAATTTATTTTTTGGATGCATACTTGATATTTTTTCTTAGAAAATCTAAGCAGTTAAAGGAAGAAAGTTTCCATCAGTATAATAGAAGATGAATATAAATATTAAGGCTGTGAAACTTTTAATATAGTGAAAATTTTTTTCTGGATCTGCATTGTGAAAAATCTAGAACCAGTACAATGAAGAAAAGGTAATAAAGTGTTTTTTTTTTTTTTTTAAATGATACAAAAAAAAAAAGTACTTTAAGTTTTACTACTTAGATTAAAATAAATAATGAATCAGTTTTATAATCTTTATCAATACATGCATACAGGGCTAACCCCCAAATAAATTTTATCATGCAATATATAACAGTATGAAAGCTTCAAAGCAAGTTTTGGGAAGGGAAAGAAAGAAACTATGTTAGAAAGCTTGTTAGAAAAGGAAATAGATTTGGGTACTTATGTTTTAACATAACTTATCTTGGCACAGTCTGGGGAGTTTTTACAAATGAAAAGGTAAAAGGGTACTCTTCTATTATCAAGACCGAATTCAAAAATATATGTATATATGCATTTGTTTATGAAAGCATGTTTATATGTACATACGTAAGCATATTTATATGTACATACATACGATATATATATAGATATACATATCAAATAATAAAGCACATACATACAATATACACACACGTACATACATTTCTGAATCTGGTTCCGATAACAGAAGAGTACTGGTAAAAGTTACTTATTGGGTATGAGTTAGTGACTTTTGCACCTTTGTTTTAGAAAAATTCTTAAAATATCAATATTTATCATAAGTCGATAAACATTATCAACATATGAAAAGAAAACATACTTTAGCAATTTAAAATATGAATTTGAATTCTTAAATAACGATTACATGACAAATTGAAAAACTAAAACACTTTTTATTCAAATCTTTTTTTCTTTTTTCTTTTTTTTTAAACTATTCTTCTTCTAAAGTGCAAAGCAATCTGTATTCACTTAAAAACAGTCAGAGAATTTGGCCTTGTGCAATCCTTGACAAGAGCGACTATCAAGAAAACATTTCCTAATTAACTCTCCAGAAAATTTTGAACAAAATTCTGTATTTCTGCAGAAATTTCATTGCAGTTTCTTCCATTGCTGGGAAACTTCACAAGATCATATTTTAAAACTACACATAAGGCAAAATATATGACTATTTGTTCATAAGAATCATTGGAACTTGGAATACAACAACAGAGATTCTGGCAATATTGCTGGACTGGCAGCACTGCTGGACCGAAGGATTGTTATAAACATTACTGCCTGAAGAATGGTTATGCACATGGTTGCTAGAATTTGACACATTCTGAAAATTTAACAACTTCTATTAAAATACATATTAATTATACATATTAATGCAACCACTATTAAAGTGGTTGCATTAATATGTAAGTACCTAGATTTGATCCAGCATATTATTAAGCTTTTCCCCTTCATAGTTATTTTAAAAAATTGCAAATTCTTTTATTACATTTTAATTTTAGGCAAAAGGCTGTGTTTATTTTTTGTTTTCCCATGAAACTATAGCTGTTATTATTCTTTATATAAATAGCTCCCAAAATTTCACAACACAGAATTCAGAAATAATTTTTCATAATATTAACACCATCAGCAGTGCAGCTTTCTGGATCTGCTCATGAAGACCTGTAGTAAAAGTGCATTTAATAGCTAAATTTATACAAATACTAATTTTAATATCTATTTTCATGAACTTCTATTAAGATGATGAAATAGAAAGTAAGAAATCATTAAAGAAATTTAGGAAGCAAAATATTTTAAATTATAAACTAATATACATGAAGGCACAAAATCTCATGACTGGATAAAGGTGGTCCTGCCACTCAGGGTTAATTCTATTTTAACTTTAAATGTTTAGTTGTATGATGCACCAAGTCTGGATAATTGTTAGATTAAGAGTCTGAAGTTGCAATACAATTAGAATGTACTTTTGAGTTACTCTTATAATATTCAGTTCTGCAAATATGGATAATTTATTATAGTATTAAATATATTTTTGTAATTCTGACTGTTATTTTCCAAAAAGAATTAACTAAAATTACTTCTTGTGTACCTCAGAAGAGAATAATCAATCAATGAATAAAAAAGAACTTTTAGTCCTAAATCAAAAGCCTTGAATATTTTGTAAAAGATAACCTCTAAATGAAATTCTTTGGCAAGTTCTTGAAATGACAGTTTCACACCATCTTTCTCAGTATCTTTTATGAACAGAATACCAGTTGCATACTCTCCCTTTTCAGGCAGATCAAGATTATATGCATTCCTATAACAATAAATAAACATTATCATTTTAAATGCTTACATTAAAAAAATTACATGAGAAATTTAAATTCAGGCAAAATTTAAATTTAAGTTTGGCATTAATTTTAAACAAAGTCTTTGCACATTTGAAGACAAATTCAACCGAGTCTGTCACTTTAACAACTAACAATAGGCTACAACAGCGGTTCTCAACCTTTTGACCAACGCGTGCCATCTAAACAAAAATTGAAAACCTTTAGTACCACCACAACTCTTGAAGAAAAGCTCAGATCACATAAATTTATGAGTGATAGAGAAAAAATTCAATCAGGATGTTGGGGCTTAAATTTTTTAATTTAATAGTTAAAATTACTTTGCTTCTTCGCGTACCACCTATTTTTCTCTTGCTTACCGCAGGTTAAGAACCCCTGGCTAGAGGCTTCATGTACTGAGCTGCAGAAAAAAAAAAAAAAAAGAAAGAAAGAAATTCTGGTAACTTCAGATTACAATGTAATGCTTCAAAGATTTTCAGTTTAATACCTGAAATAATTTCATACTAAGCAATTGGTATAGGCTTATTACACTCATGTCCATAAATTAAGGATAATACAAAATCAGGCAAAGGAAGAGTTAGAAGCAAAACAAATTTGACTTATTTGTAAAGCTTATTTGTTAAACAAAAGGTAAAGAGCAAAAAAAGATGCCATATGTTTGATATTATTAAAAAAAATTAGCGATTTTTTCTCCCTGGAGCAAATTACAAAAGAAAACCTATTTACAAAAAACCAATATTACATGGTTGGTATGATTGTTAATACATTTTATGTCTATTAGACAATGCAATACAGTCTGTACAACGCCTAGGCCTACTGAATATAAAATTATCGATCTGATCTTGGGGGATATTACACCTCTCAAAAAGCAATGCTCTCCGAAGTTCCGGTAGACATGTAGGAAGGAGGTTGACGGGCTGCAACTCGTCAGTCAAGCATGTCCCACACGTGCTCTACTAGATTCAAGTCCAGTGAGAATGCTGGCCAGTCCATAGGGTGATATCCTCTGATTGAAGGCATTCACTTACAATGTTCGCATGGTGAGGACAGGCGTTGTCATCCATAAACACAAATTGTGCGCCCATGTCACCCCGAAACAAACGTATATATTGTTCCGGAATAACGTCCCGATAGATTTAGCTTGCCATGGTTCCAATTTGAACATGCAGGTCAGTTCTGGAACCCAGAATAATTCCACCCAAACGAGCACTTCCTGCACCACCGTATAACGGTGTCGTTCAATGATGTTTTCTTGGTGGTAACGGGTATCTGGAGCTCTCCATATGAAAGTCCGACGAGAATCAGACAGCAAGCTAAACCTGGACTCGTCGGAAAATATCACACAAGCCCACTGTTGCGGTGTCCACAATGCATGCTCTCTACTCCAGACTAACCGTAGGCGACAGTGAGTTGCAATAAGTGGAACGCATCTGACAGATCTACGAGCATATAAACAAATCTGCCTTAAGCGTCTGTACATGGTCTGCCTTGAAATTGTCGTACCAGAGGCTGAAGAGAGCTGACAAAACAGGTCTGAGGCTGTGCTCCGCCTGTTTCTTTTGGCAGTAACTTCCAAATACCGGTCCTTATTCGGCGTTGTAACTCTGGGGCGACCTGTGCTGTAACGTCTACTCACATTACCATCATCTTGGAATTGTTGCCAAAGCCTGGAGATGACACTCTGGGCAATTCCAAGTTTGTCTGATACTTCCAGTTGAGTACGCCCACATTCCAGACGGTCGATAATTCTACCACGTAAAAAATCATCCAAATGCGCCCTTTGTGTCATAACTATTCGGTGTTTGCACTGAAATGCTTATAAAGTGCCTATGAACAATTTTACTTCTTTGCCTGTATTCCTTATATATCACTCTCTTACACTCTCGTCATTGTGATGTACCATCGGTGTCATCTGGTTACTTCCTGAAATTTGCATATGATTCATGAAGATGTGTGTAGTGATTTTACGGTAATATATTTATTTTAGAGTTCATTTTCCGCGTGACTCCGAACTATCCTTAATTTATGGACATGAGTGTAGTTTAAGAATTAGTTCTTGAAAAATTAAAAAATATAGAACATAACATTTAAGAAAGCTGTTCAAAATGGCAAACCCAAATGACTAAAAAAAAATTGCTATGTTATTTCATAGTAAATAAATTCAATGCAGACAATTATGCACACTTTATCAAACAATTAAGAAAATACTTAATTATTCAAGATGCAGCTGTGCATGCATTTATTTCACAAGATCATGTGTGCCCAACACTTGCACTAAATATCTCCCTCGAGTGAAAATGCAGTACTTTCTGGTTATCCGCATCCAGCTCATAAGTATTCATGAGACAATGTGCTACGTCACCAAAACAGATAACCTGTAGCATTGCCAAAATCTATTTTCGTAGCAACCTAAGTATGCACATGCACAGAAATACTTAATTATTCAAGATGCAGCTGTGCATGCATTTATTTCACAAGATCATGTGTGCCCAACACTTGCCCTAAATATCTCCCTCCAGTGAAAATGCGGTACTTTCTGGTTATCCGCATCCAGCTCAAAAGTATTCATGAGACAATGTGCTACATCACAAAAACAGATAACCTGTAGCATTGCCAAAATCTATTTTCGTAGCAACCTAAGTATGCACATGCACAGCAGATATGTGCCGATCATTAGAATTTGTTTTTGTTGCAAAATCAATAAGTATTACTTTTTGTAACACTGACAACAGTCATTACTATTTCTCATATTGAGTGCATTTTTTTTTTTTTTTTTTTTTTTTTTTTTTGTAATGAATCATAAAACTGTGCAGCTTACTAGCTGATGAGAAAAAAAGAATTGCATTTCTTTAGAAACATGACATTTTGTCCAACAATAGAAAATGTAAAAATTTATATCCTGTGAAGTTGTGCTTCATAAACGATCGAATTTATGGACCAAAATTTATGCATCAATGCTAAATTTGTGCAATTCTCTGGTGTCTTTCTAAATGAAGACAGATCGCAGTGTACATGGGAAGAACATCCGATTTACACAATGCCCAACTGTGTACAATATCACGCTTCTGCAATTCTCTGATGTTTTCTGAAACTAAAACAGTTTGCTGTGTATATGGTGTATATGGGGAGAAGAGTACAAAAAAAAAAAAAAAAAAAAAGGGTAGGTATTTTATTATGGATGTTTCCTGCATGTTTAATTTTGTTAATAGGTTGCTGTTTTATACAATTCATAGCCTGCTGCCCTTTTTGAAAATAGCTGTTATGTGTTATCTGTGCTAGCTTGGCAACAAATTAGTTGGCAATGGTTGGTGATTTTCCAGGAAATGGGATATGGATAACAAGAAAGTACTAAAAAAAAAAAAAAAAAAATACAAGATTGTTCAAATATGACTGGTACTTTATGTGTTATCTGTGCTAGCTTGGCAACAAAAAATCAGCCAACAATGGTTGGTGATTTTCCAGGAAATGGGATATGGATAACAAAAAAGTACTAAAAAAAAAAAAAAAAAAATACAAGATTGTTCAAATGTGACTGGTACTTTTTTTTACCAAAACCTTCACTGGGAATGAAGGAGTTGAACATGTAACTGATAGTGATAACATCAACAGACTGCATAAGTTCCAAATTGGATTTCAACCTGTGACTCAGAATTGACTAGTGCACCCACATCTCATTGATGGTCACTATAGACTTAAAAAATGCATTTTTTCATCCTCAAACCACCATAAGAAAAAACTGACAATTTTCTCTCACTTAGTTAGTGGTCATCACTTAGTTTTTATCCGTCAATGCGCATAGAATCCACCAGGCATAGACCTTGTCCTAGTGTAAATATTTTTTACATTGGTTTCTGCACTACCTACATTGATTGAAAGCATCAATGTTCTTTGATAGTGATGTGCCTATTCTCATGAATAACTGCATTCATATGACAAATGTTTTTCTTGATAACAGATGTTCTCTACATGCTCTTACCTCTCAATGATGCACTTGCACTACTCAAATGCATTGGTGCTAGAGATATACTAGAGACAGGTATTATTTCCAATCTGCCAAATTTCAGATGACTAGATGTTTTCTTGAACATGAAATTTGATTACAATGCATTTTTTCACACTCTGAGATAGGTCTTGTTTACTTATCATTCTCACGTTTGTCAAATATGACTGAGCAACTTTTAATCTGCATAAGAGGTAAGATGAAGGATAGTGATTGTACTTATCCAAAACACACAGCTGTGCATGTGTAGTATTTGCAACAACAACATTTATACTATAGCATAATACTTGAATTTTCTACTTTATTTTGCTAGGACATGAAATTGTACAAGCTTAAAATAGTAAACATCTTAAAGAAATTTTATTCAAGCTGTTTTGATAGGAATAAAACAAAAATGTATGAGATAAATGTCAAGTCATTTTCTACTTCTCTTATGATTTTTCAGGCACTTAGTATTTATTCTTCGAAATCTTCTTGAAAGATGCTGTTTCTAAAAGAGATTTCTCTGCTTTTATTGCTGATAAGCTTCCATTTTTTTTTTCCTTGCAACAATGGATAACATTCTATGTTAACAATAATGGCAACCATTGGTCATCCCTTTTATTCATGTTCAAATCGTCTAAATTAAAACTTTTAAATTATCATTTATTAATAAAATTCATAATTGAATTCTAAAAAAAAAACATACACCAGATTCAAATTCTTATAAGATTTATAACAATGCATTTCAATACAGATTAATCTCCAAGAATAATATTTTACATCAAGGGACACAAATTTTACACCTAAAATATATAGTTCCATTGCAACAGAAGCATTTTTCTAAAACTGCCAGAAATCTAAGATTAAATTTTGCATAACTTTAAACATGCCATCTTATAAATATTAATTAAATATCTACAGTTCAGTAAATAGAATTTTAAAATACTAACTTATTGTATAACATTTTGGAATAAAAAAGAACTTAATAACCATTGATAAATTACTTGTAAAAATATACGAGATAAACAGAGAAATTTACTAGATACAAATAAAAAAATTATCCATACTTCAAACATATTTTATAAAAGTGATGTGGTATAGAAGTCATCACACCAGCACCATCACCAGTATTATTATCACAAGCACAAGCACCTCTATGTTCAAGACGCCTGGATATGGTTTCTGCATCATCAATAAGCTAAAACATTGTAGTTTTAGATTTACTAATTAATTTATGCAGTTAATGAAAATCTAATAAAAAAATTATAATTATTACTAAAGGCAATGTGACCATGACCACCCCTATAATTCACTATTTCAAATCTAATAAATGTGTTCTTTCCAACACATCATTTTACAGCATCTGAGACAATCAGTTTTATTTATCGCCAAGTTGCTGTTGTTTCATTTATGGCAACCAACCCTATTAATTGGTTGGGTGATTGTGGTGAATTTGAATGATGGAAAAGATTTATAAGGGCTTATTTGTGTGTTGGATGTTGGTTAGGAAGTACATTGGTTATTATGTGGTTCACACAGTAAAATGGCTGAATGTGGTAAGATTAATTTGAAGTTTCTGTACGATTTGGAACAAAAGGGAAAACATTAATTGACAGGTGTGTAAATGAAGATTTACTTAGTAGCCATTATAAGTGTCCTGTTTGTGTGAAGGAAATGCATATGGTTGAATGCCGGAGGATACCGGCACTACAGAGGATACTTTTAGTCTTATTTTTGTGAATTTATGTGGTGATGCTACTATACAGATTCTAGTTCAGATAATTTTAGAAAGTTTTTGAATGCTGTTAAGGAATTTTGTTTGACTAAAGACGCAGAAATTTCTAAATAAGGTAAGTGGTGTAGTGCTGTAGCCTGTTTTAATGTTTAAATGTTAATGTTTAAAATTAATTTATGACTAGTAACAGCATGAATTATAAACAAATAGCTAAGTTATTGCATTTTATTTTCCAGCTATCGAAATGCGACGCTACGAGCAACGTTTTGAAACCAAAACCTAGCAATCATGAATCAGAACTAGAACTAGTTGCCATTCAGCATAAAGAAATTTAAATATAAATATGAAACTACTTATTGCCATTCAGCATAAAAGAAATATAAATATGAATATAACAAAATATTAAAGTTAATTTTTATAAAATAATTAAATATATGAACAAATATATGAAATAAAAAATAATTATTTCTCATGCAATAATAACTGGGTCACTACAGTGCTAAGATGAATTTCTTTTTTTATGTTATTTCACTGTTTGATTTAAAATTTAATTTATTGAAATCATATATATTTAGTTTGAATTTGTAGAATTGGCTGTTCCTTTGACTTTTTAAGTGAAAACACATCAATGTGTACATGGAAAAAGTCAAGGGAGTGCACGATGCCATGTTTGTGCAATTCTCTGAATTTTCTTTTAAGTGAAAATAGGTCAATGTGTACATGGATGCCACATTTGTCCAATTCTTTGACATGTTATTTTAGCTTTGCGTAGCGACGATTTTTGCCACAAAAATCACCACTACACTAAGCCAAAATAACAAGTCAAAGAATTGCACATACTCTGTGTCCATATATCGCCAAGCAGCACCCTTAAATATATTTTTACCCAATTTCTTTATACATTAAGTATAAAGCAAAAAATCATATATATACTGACATATTTTTAATAATAACTGCACTTACACATATAGAAAATGCAATACTATTTTTTACAAAACTACTTATCCAAATAACACAATGGCTTTTATCCAGTCATAATATCTGAGTCTACTTTGTAACACTATATTGCTTCTTACACACTTGCAGCATTATTACTTTAAGTGATCTGGAGATAACTATTATGGTTTCAAGATTAGAAAAACAACCAAGAAACAAAACCACTCCATGTATCAAGGTAAAATTTGCTAAATAAATATAACATATTGTAAGTGGATCAGAAGAGCTTTGGTGCTCAGAGGCCTAATAAACATTACCAAATTAAAATTTTATATTTAATTTTTATTAGTGGTCATTAAATTCATTTAGAAAATGTTCTTAGAAACTCGGCTTATTTTATGCGAATCAGAGACAATAATACCAGAATCTAAAATATCCATTTAATTTTAAAAACACAGGTAAACAAATTCATAATCTGAATAACTAAGGATTTCCATAGCAAAAATGTTGGTCATGTTCTATTTCTAATTTAGATAAAATAAGCTAATTTATAAATACAGTCAAAAGTCATTAATCCGGACTCGTCGGGACTTCGGCGATTCCGGATTATCAATTTTTCCGGATTATAGATCGTCAGTTTAAATCTGGTAAGATGGCATGCAGAAATTATAAAATTAAAAATATGAAACCGCAATTTATGAAATAAAGAACAATTATGATCTAAAGGGTATCAAAATTTAGAAAAAAAAAAAAAAAAAAAAGCTTAATATTTATTTGTTTACTTTATTAAACATTTCTTTCAATGTAAGTTGTTTAAGTTCCTTCATTTTTTATGTGATAATACATTCTCTTTAATTCTATAAACAGACATAATTTCTTGTTCAGTTACAAAGTTCCGCTGTTCAAGTCCTATAATTGCTGTGTCTACCGACTAATTTGTCAATCGAAATTTTTTCGTTTTCAATAACCTCTGTTACTTTCTTTGCTATCTTTATTATTCTTTTGCTATCTTTGCTATCTGTTACTTTAATCGGAAGCGAATTATAATGATGAGGAATTTGATTTAAATCATATCAAAGACGGAGTACATAGAGATGAAATACTACATTTAGTAAGGAATTATAAGCCAAATAAAATAAAAACATCTGCCCTGAAGATAAGGATAGTGCTGACAGATCAACTTTCAATTCATTGCGCACTGCAGCGTTAAAGATAAACAAAGTTTAGATAAACAAACGTTAAAGTTTAGATAAATAAAGAATATGCCTTTATCCATTTTTTGCAGCAATTGTTTAATGGACTTCGAAACATACTTTCGCTTTGTAGATCCTTTACATATTAGTAAATATATATCAGAAATTCTACTTGACATAATCGAAAGTTCAAGCTTACTTTTATAAAAATGCTCTAACAGTCTGCAAAAAATAATAAGCCGAATCAAATTCAAAGATTAAGGAACAACGTAATCTGCAACATTAACTGAATTAGATAATTTTAGCTTAGCTTATACCGTCCCTTATACATTAAACGCGCATTCGTAAACGTATTTTGTGAACGCACACATGCATATTCACAGCCGTAAAGGTCTTCTGTGCATGCGTCAATGCGACGCATGTGCAGAAAGTTTGTAGCTTTGAGGTCCGGATTATGGGTGTCCGAATTGACTTTTGACTTATCTATACACATATTTGAAAAATATATTTATTGCCCTTTCTATAAGAAAATTCAAAATAATTAACTGATTAAAAAATACATCAATTTATCCTTATTGACAAACTGAAGCTTTCCATTTTAATTTACATATACTGAAATATAAAACTATTACCTTGTGCGATGTTATTCCTTTCATGTTAACAACAAAACCAACCCCACACGCTTCTCTTTCAAAGGAAGGATCATATAATCCATGTTTTTCTGGTAATAGCCAAGGTTCCATTTTTGAGATTTTATACCACTAGAAAAACAGTATGGCCTATGAAGATATTAAAAAGTTTATGACAATTTTAAACAGAATACGAATAGTTTAGCAAATGCAAATATATTTTCATTTAAAATAAATTTTTATAAATGAAATTATTGAATAATTTGTAGTATTTTAATTAGTTAATTTTTTACATGTCAATAATTAAAATGTGATCATTCTTAAAAAATTAGGTACTTTTCCGTTTCGCCGGCACAAATGTCACCAAGCAGACTTTATTGGCGGCAACGCACAGTATACACATAAAAAACATTAACAAATGTTAGTTCTAAGAAATTTTTATTTCGAAGTCATAAACATTTTAATGCCGTTTAAAATTTTGTAAAAAGGCAATAAATAATGACGATAAATTTGTAAAGAGACATTAAGAATTTACTTTGCTTTCATGGTACAACATCCTCATTCTCCATTTCACATTATGTGATCCAAAGTGATCTCATCTCACGTAAACTATGCTACAAAAATCTAAATCTCTCAGTAATTATCTACATTAGTTTCAAGTTAAATCTTAGTTTAGAAAACAAGTTTAAATGTAAGAAATATTTCAATTCGTACGAATATCTTACTCAGAAATTAAGGTATGTCTACCTTAAATTCGTCATTTTGGTGAAAATTTTCAATTTTTTTTTTTTTATTTATTCATTTTATAGGCCATACATTTAGGTTTCCAAAAAATGCTTTATTTTTGTTTTAACGATTACCAGAAGAAAAGTTATAGTATAAAAAATAAACCGGATGTGAATTTTTGGATGATGGAAGTTGGCATTTAAATGGTTGTAAAAATGTAAGCAATAAGTTTAAACAACTATTTTCTAAATATTAAACAATATAAAAGCTGTAAAAGCAACACATCTTTCACTGTGTGACACTTTGCTGGTAAAATGCCTACATGAGAAGACTCAAAACAACAATGAGTGTTTAATAACCTATTGAGGAATATTTTACATAAAGAAACTTTTATCTAACTGAAAACATTGCTTTTAGGTGCATATATTGCTGTATTATTATTTAATTCAAGATATTTAGGACTTTTACCTATTTTCAGGTATATGGAAATAGAAATTAATCCCATTATGCTTGAAAGCTACATGGGAATAGACAAACAGCGAATTCCGAAATCGAAACGCCAATCTCTACAAACAAAAAAGTTATCCAGAAAAATGCTAAAAGAAAGTCAAAATTAGTTAAGAATGAAGTAAAAGAGGGCCTAACATACAAATATGGTGAGTTTTAAAGGTCTAAAGTGGCTGCAAAATTTTTCGTGCTGTATTAAAATCTTTAAATGCATTTTCTGAGAAATTGTTTTTCATTACTTTTGATTGTGATTCCGTTAATCTTTCAAAATGTATTTAGAATATTGAAATGAAATTTTGCCAAAATGTTTTATTCATCTTCAGCATCTTCAGCAAAATCTAATCTCTTTGTAGTTATTTATTGATTTTATTGACAGTATTTTGAAGAAAAGATGATTTCTTTTGTTTCAATTTTGAGTTTTTGTACTAAGTTTTGAATATTTCAAACAATTTTATTAGTACAGCAAATCTTTTGCTACAGAACACAGGTAAGTATGTTATTTATATACTGTGTAAAGATTATTGGAGTATATTCATTAGAATCTATTATAGGAGATCTGGCGTAAATGAAAATTTTCACTAAAATTTTACTAAATATTGCCTATATTTAAAACATTAATGAAACGTTGGTTAATCTTTGGATAATGGTAATTTGGCGATTTTTTGGCGAAAATTTGGCGACCAACCCTGCTACAACAACCTGCTAGTTTTTGTTTGGATGCCATTTTGTTTTCACGAAATAAAGGCGCTTTTTTTTTTTTTTTTCCTTTTTTTTTACTCAACATTTTTTTCCAACAATCTGCTAGCCGAATTACGCTTATGCTAGAACTTTTATGAAACAAAAGTGCTTAATCATGACGAAAATTACGTGCGAAATTGGGAGAAAGTGCAGAATCGCAAGCTGCTTGCCGTGTTTTAAAGAATTGCACATTCACGGTATCCATGTATACGTCGACCTATTTCAATTAAAAAAAAATCTCAGAATTGCACAAAAATGGCATTGCACACACTCTTGACTTTATCCATGTACACTGCTAAAGTCCTAGCTAGTAACTTTTATTGCCTTACCAAAATGCCGCCAAACTACCCCTTACCATATTCCAAAGATTAGCTGAAACATTTTATAAAATCCCACTTAAATTCATAGTTTTATATCCCATCTTACTCAAAAACGTGTGTTTAATTAAAATTTTATGTATTTAAAAAAAAAAAAAAAAAAAGTGCTTCGTATGTAGGCAACTAAAACCACAGCACATTACTTCGCTATTGCATTCTCATTAGAATTGATGAATTTAACCCTTTGCCTTTTCTACACTTTTGCCTTCAAGTGAGCAGTGTGATTGCATCCTAATTGACTTAATTACCATGCTAATTATTATTAATTTAATTTTAGGGCATAAAATTCAACTATCTGGTAAAAATTCTATGTAATTGTATGCCAGTATTGAAAGAAACAATCAATCTGATAAGAAATGGCTGCGACTTGTTTTGAAAATGAGGCGTAAAACATTACCAGCGAGGATATTCCGTTTGGCATCAGTTGTACCATTTTTGGTGTCTTTATCGCTTGCGCTGGCAAAATGGGAAAGTACAAAAAAGGGGTATTATTAAACTAAAAATTTACTTGCACACAAAATGTGTGTTTCAATCTGATAATAACTGAAAAAACGTTTTCTGGGAAATAATTGAAAAATAAATTGAATGATAATAATTGGAAAATCTTTTGGTTAATCTTTGGATTATGGTAACTTGGCGATTTTTTGGCAACCAACCCTGCTGCAGCAACCTGCTAGTTTTGTTTTGGACGCCATTTTGTTTTCACGAAGTAAAGGCTTTTTTTTTTTTTTTTTTTTTTTTTTACTCAACATTTTTTCCAACAATCTGCTAGCTGAATTACGCTTATAATTGAACTTTTATGGAACAAAAATGGGTGCTACTTTGGTAGACGGTTGCACGGATTTTGGCGATTTTTTGGCAATTTTCCTTTGGCGAGTAATACAACTTATGGTAAACCCATTGCTGGATAAGTTAATTTATGGTAACCGATACTTTGTTGTCATTTTATTTAAAAAATAGTGTGTTTATTGTGCATAAATTCCGTGTTTAAAATATTATTTATGGCTTTTAAAATTATAAAAATCAATTTAATTTTGCATTTTTATTTGAAATAAAAAATTTTATTGTTTATCATTTTTATGAAATTTTATGTTGTGGATGATGTAATCAATGACGTCCCCTTACTTTAAAAGTAATTCGTTTTAATATGTATAAATTTAATCTAATGTTTTAAAACATTATTTATGGCTCTCGTAAATACTAAAATACAATTTAATTTTGCATTTTTTTAAAAATGATTTTATTATGTATGAATTTTTAAATAATTTTAATTCTAGCCGTGATGTAATAAGCTCTCTGATTGGTTATAGAATATTTGTGCATTAACGAGCTGTAATCAGCTCCCTCATTGGTTACTGACAATTTTGTGCATTTCTGCGCCGTTTTTAAAATTTAATTTATATCTTCGAATTCCTTCAAGATGTTATCTAAATTATGATTTTGATTTTTTATTGTGGGACTTATCAATAAACAACAAGGTTAAACACTCAAAAAAATGTAAGTACATATTTTCTTTTATTTTATAAATGTATACTTCAATTTTTGTTAAAAAAAATTAATAGACTATTTTCAGAAATTGCTGAGATAATTATTGTCCATATGTTTTAATGTTAATTATATTCTATATAACGTATTTTAAAGTATTTGAATTTAATAATATTCTAATTCTTTTAAATGTTGGTATGATGGTTTTTAATTCGATATTCAATTTCAGTAATATTTTAATCTAATTAAACGTTGGCCCAATGTTTTTATAGCGGTGTTTTTATTCTCTTCTTTGCTATATGAAAGTAATAATAACCTTACTTTAGTATTTTATACTCATAGTAAATGTATTTATTTACACTTGCCTGCCATCTCAAAAAATGCCATTTTCAACAAAAAATTAATCCATTACTTTTAACGATATTTATTTATTATTTTTTAAGTTTCGAATACTTTACTATGCGTAAAAACAGCGTTTTTCAAGATGGCTGACGTTTGTAAAAATCGCGCCAACAATTCGGCCAACGTAAATCGCCAAAAATCCGTGCAACCGTCTACCAAAGTAGCACCCAAAAATGCTTAATTATAGTGAAGATTAGGTGCGAAATTGGGACGGTATCATCCATGTACACGTCGACCTATTTTCACTTAAAAAACATCCCAGAACTGCACAAAAATGGTATTGCGCACACTCTTGACTTTATCCTTGTACACTGCTAAAGTCCTAGCTAGTAACCTTTATCGCCTTACTAAAATGTCGCCAAACTACCTGTCACCATATTCCAAAGATTAGCCAATCTTTTCTTTAAGATAGCATTTTGCAAATGATTGAAAAGAAGCAAAAATAATACATAATTTCCTGGTCTTCAGATTTTCAAATATGTGAAAAACTCAAATTCATCTCTACTTTTACATATTTATTAAATATCCCATTGTTTTCAGATGCTTATAAAGCAGTTTGGTAAACAAAGTTTTTCCACAATCCTCAGCCATAAATAAGCCTTAAAATGTAATATATTTCATATCATGCTAAATCACTTTTAAATGTTATACATAGCACAGAAATGAAGCTTTCATTCATTTGGGGAGGGGTAGAAATCTAAAATAAATAAAAGCTTTCTAAAATTCTGCATTCATTCAATTGTCAGTTAAAAATTAATTTGCTCATTATAAAAAATTTGGCCGCATTATAAATGCTTCAATTAAGTAATACAAAATTAGATACAATGAATGTTAAAGCACTATAACAGTTAAATATATTTTTTATATATATTCATACTTTAATAGATAAGTTACATTAATGTTTTCAAAGAGAAATATTTGCTTTCTGGAGGTAGTAAATTGATAAATAGTACCTAGCTTTTCTTAATCAAGCTTTAGTTCCAAAGTCAACATCAAAAATTAAATCACTATTTTATAACTAAAATATGTCACATTTTCTTTCTACTAAAAAATAATTATATATTAGTGTTAGAAAATTCTTCAGGCATCAAAAAAGATAACTATTCAAAATGTAATTTTAAGTTTTAATTAAGTAAAAAAGAAAACAAAATTTCATTAAATCACAGTATTTTTTCCCCTTAGAAAATCTTCATTTCAAATTAAGCCTTGAAGTATAATTATTCTTTATGTAAAAAACTTTATGATTTATATAACACTGTACAATATTTATATTTTTTAACTGGAATTCTAAAAGAAACTTGCAGCAAAGAAAGCAATTAGTAAAACTATAAATTAAGGTAAATAGTGTAATTATAAATTAATCAAAAAAAATTTAATATAAATTTGAATTAATAAATAATTTAAACCAAATAATAATAAATTTAAACCTTTACTTTTTAAATTGAATATTCATCTTAAATTAATGTAAAAAAATTAATTTTTTGTCATTCTCTTCCAAGTTGACGAGCTTTATTTGAACTAAATATTATAAATTGGTACTTTTATGAATAAAAAAACATATATAATTAAAATGATCAATCTTTAATGCTTACAAAAATAAAAGCAATACTCCAAATATTAATAGTACTTTTTTTCTAGTTGAAAAAAACTTTTTAAAGCTATGAAAAATTTGCTTTTTATAAATATCATGAAAGACTACTTGTAAGAGATCTACTATATTTGTCCTAACAGATAAATATGTTTTAAATATATTCAAAATGAGATATTTTCATCATAGCAATCATACTAAAGACCTAATTATTAAAAAAATTAAATATGAGGATAAATTGATTCAAAACATTATTTTAAATAAATTAAATACAACTACATGTTAGAAAGAATAGAAGCATGCTAAAATGAAATAGAGAATTACAAAAATACAACATCGCTCTGCTGTTAGTTTTATACAAAAAAATCCATGCATATCAGTATTGGCCAGCTAATTCCCCCCCTCTCAACTTTTTTTAAGTGATCTTACAGTTTACTTTTGCTTAACGTCGTATGCAATTCAGGAATACAATTTACTTTAGGAATTTAATACCCGCAAAAGAAGTCTGTATTAAAATCACGTTTTTCAATCGCATTCGCATATCATATTTTTAAAGGCTTTTAATTTGGTAAAAAAATTAATAAAAAAATATTCACCTTACATGAAAATTTCCACTTTTAAACTTCACAAACCTTAATAATCACTCAAGTGACTTCCCAGTTTTTCAATATTACCCGTAAAAATACGTTTCTTTTGAGCAAAGGAGCGACAATAAATCATTAAGCAATATCGCAAATGCAATTTGTGAGACAGTTCTTATGAAAAGAAGATAACTTTACCTGTAAGAACATTTCGCAAGAATGTGTCTGATCTTCGTACAACTTGTTGAACACATTTTCGGTATTTCAAAAGAATCAATACCAGATAATATTATGTAACCCCCCTCTCAAAAGAGCTCTTATGATAAGGAAAAAGATAGTAATAAAAACCTAAAAATATGTATTTAGGTGCGTCTGAAGTCCCCCAAAGTTGTGATAACAGATCATTTTCACAACAGATAAGAAAAACTACTTCATTGACAACCTGCATTGGAAAATTTGTTTATATCTTCCGCGGTTTGAGTGGAGTTGAAATGAATACTCGTAATTTGCATGAGGTTGATTTTTAAAAAAGTTGAAATTGACATGTGAACGAAGAATATCTGAATTAAACCTATTATTTCCATAAATGTCACCATTTTAGCACTATTTAAATTCATATTTCTTTCGGAGGCTGTTTTATCCTAAAAATTTATCTTAATCTCAATGCCTTATTTATGGCATATCAAATACTGCATAACTAAAATGCAAATGGAAGTAAAGGTGTCACAGAAAACCAGTTTCTCCATAAATTTTCAATCAGCTATACTCAATTAATTGTCTTACAGTATGCATAAAATTTTACTATATATGAAATTAGAAGAGAAACACGCCAAGTGAAATCTAAAATTAGTAGCCCGACAACTTTGTGTTTGACGTAGATTTATCTCAAGATCTTGACATAAATCTAGGCCAAAAACTCAAGCTTGTTGTATTACTGATTTTATTACGATTTGTTTATATGTACATATGTGTGTGTGTGTGTGTGTATAAAGCAGGAATAAGACGTCGGTAAAACTAATTTCGACGGTTCATCATCTTTATTCTTACGCACATCAAAAATGATTTCTTTGGCAGACAAATTTTCAATCATAGTTGAATACAAGTAATTTTTATATACACAGATAAGAAGCTACGACGTCATTTCAGGCAAGGAAGCATGCGAAGTTGTTGGCATGGTAGAAGTCAGGGGAAAAAGGAAGCGTAATGCTCTTGGATCATATCTTTACTGCTGGATTTAGCTACTAGGGGCTCTTACCAGTAAATTATCATTATACCATAGGCCATTAAAGTTAAACAATTTAAGAGGTGTATTTAAAAACACACGGGTAGTGCTCCTGACTTAGTATTTATACTTCGTAGGTGCAGAGAGTATTTCAAGCTATGATTGGTCAATATTAGTTTTAGTTACCTTTTCCAGGCAGTGTTATATAATTTGGAATGATTTTGAATTTGGAGAACAGATGAATTCAGGAAGGGGGACCATAAATTTAAAGTGTTAATTTTGAGGTCGCTAAATGTTTCTTTAAAACAGACATCGTATTTTGTTATATCTTTACATATATATATATATAGAGAGAGAGAGAGATGCATGCATATATAAGAAAGAAAATACATCGAATCAACATCAGGGAAATGTGGCTTAGTTATATATTACATATTATATTACTGAATATTGTGTGAATTTTGTTTTATTTTGTATAAATCTACTTTGAATTTCTGTTTTGCTATTCAAGTTTTTGATTAAATTTTCTTAAATTTGTACCATCTTGATAGAAAATTAGCCATTTCCCATTTGGTAATTATTAATTCTTCATATTTTCTCTCCTTTTGATTAAATACATGTACAGATACACTAAAAAAATCTAGCATTACAAATTCCTTTACAAGTATTCTGTCTGTATATAATCAGTGGTTATACTACCAGAAATGCCATATGAAGCTCATATAGCCAATAAATTTAGATTTTGCTACATCGTTTAAGGCCTTCACTGAGAATTACTTTTGAAACCCTAGTTTGATAAACTTCGAATATTTCCTCAGAGCTCGATTAACCATTAAGAAAAGTAAGCATTTGCTTAGGGCATCAAGGAAAAGGGACATCAAAAAAAGGTATTCGGAACTCAATGACAGCGGATACCACGAAAAGGTGTTTAGGGAAAGGTGGCACTATGAAAATTTGATCTCAAGCTTAACCCGTTCAGAATCAGCGTCGCGTATACGCGACGCAACGATTCAACTCTTACCAACCCAGTGTCGCGTATACGCAAACAGCTCCGACAAATGACAAGACAACTAGATATCTAGTTGGCCTAGTTGGCCTTGCAAATGACAGTCAAGACCCCAAAATTTCTCATTGCCGGTTTTACCGAGCAATGATGGAGCATATAAACGAATACTGAGATGATAGAAAGAATGGTAGGGAAAAAACATTATGTTTACTGTAAATGTAATGTGGGAGGAATACCAAAATATTTAAGTTCTTACGGCCTCAATAATAATAAGTCTCAATCCAGGCTTGTGTTCTGTTCAAGCTTTTCTAATTTTTTGAATCAGTAATAACAGAATTTTTTAGTTTAGCTAGCAAGGCAGCAATTAAAGCGTAGTTTTAACTTAATAAAAATACATACGAACTTAGTCAAATGTTACCTATGAAATGATGTTATGCAAAATTTTACGATGTCAGCTCACTATTTTCATCATGATGATGAATTACGTAATAGACAATGTTTCACAATTTGTGTAAATATATTACATGGATTTGAGTTGGCAACACGCTGCACACAGCTGCAACTTCTTGTTTTGGTATATTTGTGCCGACAGTAGACTGTCGTAATTTTATGAACGGTTTTTTTGCCGCTGTTAGTTCAGTTTGTTATTCAATTACATTGCTCGAAATTGGGAATACACCACATTCTAATTTGTTTATTTTCAGAGGTAAGGATGCTTTCGTTTGTATTGAGCTTAATGTTTCTATTGTGGTAGTCTTTTTTTTTTTTTTTTTCCTCTCTGTTGTGTTTTGCCCTTTGGCAGTGAATTGTGACCTTTTTTTAGAATTGGCACAAGTGCATTAAAAGTGTTGTCATTCATTATTTCACGGTACGCACTGATTGTTCGCACCTTTCGCAAGCAGTTAATAATGCAAAATTGCTTTTGTTATTTCATATCTTGTCGGCTTAAGAAAATGCTGTTTTTGTTCTTACTTTTCATTTCTTCAGAAGCCGTTATCCCTTTGGAGCTAATGTCAGAATTTATCTTTTCAGCGTTCTGGTATTTTTATCGGAATTAACCTGATCTTGGATCGCTGTTGGGAGTACAGAAAATTCTCAAGCGCTGCAAATAATTTTCTCCAATTTTTTTTAACCAATTCTTCAAGGTATCAATATTAATTATCATTATTGAATTTAATGTATTCTATCATAATTTAAAAAATGTGGTGTTTTCTCCTTATTGATCAAATAAGATATATTACAGTTAAATTTGTTTTTTAATAATAATAATTTTTTTTTTTTTTTTCTTTAATTCTTAATGTGAAAGTTTTGTTTGTGAATAATTGATATATCAAAGTAATCGAAGTAAGTTAGTAGATTGAAATAAATCCTTGCATTAGGTGTTTCAGTTTTCCTCCTATTAATTTATTACTGTAGCTCAAGAAATTATTTAAATTTTTGATGTCATGGAAACTCCAGGGGAAAACTTAAACTGAATGGCAATATGGAAGATTGATATAAATTCAAGAAATACTGAATGAAAAGTTGCTTTGCTTGTATTTTCATTTAGGATGCATTTTAATAAAAAGTTAATTTTATTTTTGTTGTTTATGCATGCATGATATGAATTGGTCTTCACTACTCGAGCTGTTACTTTGTTATTGATGGCTGCAAATTTAATTTGCATAGTAATGAGTGAAATTGCCTGTGAGCCAGTCATTTCTAAAAATATTCATCCTTTTGTAAATGTAGAAATTATTGTTTTATTCATATATCATTAGAGTGGTAATTGTTAATTTTCCAGAATACTGCAAGCCATTACATGCATCTAAGTACTGTGAAGGTTATGTGAAACGGAAACAGTTATCAGCATTAATAATTATTTTGGAAGCTGTGTGCTTCTCCTGTGGGAAAATAAACTAAATATATAAATTTCCAAGCCATGTTGCTTGTAATCTAGTTAGTAGTTTACTGCCTCTGTATTTGTATGATGTGAAGTGATTAATTCAGGGTTCTTTCATTCTTGATTTACACACAAAACCAAATTTTATTTTTTATTTTATTCATGAGTTTATTGCTGAAACAATTTTTAATGTGAATGAAAGTGCCTTGATTTGAGTGACTTGATTTGTATTGCATAGTAAAAGAAATTTTTACCAATAATTTGCCTATAAAAAAGTTATTAAAAATTATTGCAGTAACTAGATGTAATTGCTTCTTACCAATTAGAATTAAAAATCTGGTAAAATATGTATATGGATTATTACCATATGGAAAAGCCCATTAGAGATATTTTGAATAATAAAATTATACATGCTTCTTCTTTTATAACTAAAGTTATTCTGTCAATTTTTTTAATATGAAACAAAAAAACTAATTAGGAAAATAGGATTTAAATTTTAATAAATACTATGTATTCAAATCTTAAATATTTAGTAGAGCTTATTTTTCATTTAGTATTTCTTTAGAACTACTCCATAATTTCTTTCAACAAGCTGTTGAGCCCCACCAGTTTCTGAGTAGTTAAGAGCATGGAATACTGCTAGTTTGACTAGAGGCCAAACCTAGTAAATGGGCTAGTTGCATGGTTGGTTTTAGTAAATTTCTCCAAGTATAGTATGAAGATGAGTTATTTCTTTTAGAAAGGCCTCCACAAAGGCATCCCTTCCTTTAAGCAGATAGCCCTCATATACTTTGTTGTATTAAAATAACCTAACAGAAAAAATGTTGAAAGCTTTCTAATATTCTTTTGGCATAATCATTGTTTTCCCTGGGGGTTGACGCATGTAAAACCTGTGAAGCTACCGCCTAGGATCAGTATGTAGACAGTCTTGACCAAGGGGGTATAAAATCAGTCTTCATAGGACTAAAACCATCGTTTATTTGGTGGTAGGTTCAGTCTCGGCAGGGACCATATGGTACTTTTTTGTCTGGACCTTCGTTGTGGTTGAGCAAAGTGGTTTGCTAAAAATGTTGGATCTCTGTGGCTTAGTTTTCTGTTGGTCCACTCGTGGGAATGCTCCATTCAAACTGGTGGTCTGGTTGTGATTGATTGGGACCTGGTTGCGATCCCCCACCACCAACTATGTTTTACAGCCAGAAATGGCCATGAGACCCTTATGGACCATGTTACCCAAAGACTGTTCTTTTCATTACCTCAGATTGTGATGAAAAGAACAGTTTTTGGGTGACCCCAAAAAAGGGGGATGAAGTCTTTGAGAACAGTCTTTAGATAAGCATGGGGGGACTGCATCCCTTTGGTTTGCCAATGGCGGTGGGACATAACTGTGTATGGGCATTTGCATGGTTCTGAATCCACTATTCAGCATCATAATATTCTTTTGGATAATTTTTCTATTATTTTAAAGAGAAAGGAGTCAATTTAATATTAAGTTAACAAATATTTTTTTTAAATTGGGTTTAAAAATGAGAATTAAAAATAAGGTTGCTACTTTCTGATTATCCACATCTCGCCAAAACGTTAAACTTATTGCCGAGTAATTTTTTACCAAGCTAATGTACAGCACAACAACCACACTCCAAATGGCAGAATTCCATCAAAGAGCAAGCTATTAATAAAATAATGGAGTTCAGAATCACCCCCTGCTTGGTAAGTTTTTAAAAATTCCACAAATTCAGTATCCATGTAAACATTGACCTGTTTTCACTTAAAAAAACATCAGAGAATTGCACAAATTTGGCTTTGCACCACCCTTTCTTGATTTTGTCCATGTACACAATGATGTACTATTTTTCAATTAAAAAGTCAAAGGAAATTGACAACAATCCAATTCTTCTTACTCTTGTAAAAAGTGGCAAACTTAACGTGCCAAATAAGTGGGTGATTCTGCACTTCAATCAAAATAATTTAAAAAAGTGTCAGTAATAAAATACTTACATTTTTCAGGACATCCTTGCTTTTGGTGCTGCTGTTCCCACATATATCTACCTTTTTTTTTTTTTTTTTTTTAAGAAACCATCAGAGAATTGCTCAAATTTGACATCTGTACAACTTTGGCCTTGCGCACCTGCAAAAGCATGCCTGTGCTACGTGCTGGGTTGCAGCGTAAATACTTTGGACAACATCGTTGATTGCCACATAACTATTTTGGTGATATACTTCTTTACCTCATGAATGTACTTTTGTAACTTTTTAATGGCAGTGTGGAAAGAATCAAAAAAAGGAGAGTTTAAAGAGAACCAAAAAAATTTGGTGTTATGAGTTTTTTAAGAGTATAAAAAAAGTCTGTGTGTTATTCATTTTAGCAAAAACTGTAAATTGAATTTTACCAAAAATTATAATAATTGAGATATTTTAACAATTCTTAGACCAAATTCGATTGGGAAATTACCATTTGCCATACCCCCTCCCCTATTCTGCCCTTCTCGTATATCTTGACATTTACCAGTTGTTTATAAGTAATTTTCATCTTATCTGTATAGTAAGAAAATAACAAGCAAAAGGTATTTATGAGTAAATTAGTGGTAAATATCAAGCTATGGGAGTGACTAGGAGGAAAACATGTGATGAAATATAATACTTATATATAATGATGCTCCAGTGACGTATGCTACAATCAATGCTTAATACTTATAGATTTTATGTCGTGGTAAAAAGTAATAAATTTTAGATTCATCATATTTATTTTGAATTTTCTAACCAGTGATCATAATAGAAATATAATTAACCTATTAAAACAATATATAAAAAGCTAGCTGAAAAGTGGAAATTAATAATACTAATGTACTATTTCCCCCGTTAAGCTCGCATCATTATGAGAATGCAAGCCATAATTGGTAATTTCTCATGCAGGCAGTGTAACAATTAAATTTTAAATCGCTAGAAAGGTTAATTAGATGAAAGGGTAATAAGTCATCTGAATTTCTATTGTTTGACTCAGGATCAGTTTCTGGTAAATGAACAGTATGTCTGTGCAGAGATTTCATAATTTTGATGATTTAAAATGTTGCTATAATCCAGTTCCCCTTAAAAACATCCCTCTTCAAAACATTCAGTTTTTGAGAGATACCTTTCAAGTGGTTATCTTGGTAATCTAATTTTAATTTTTCTTTAATATTTGCAATAGATTTTTCTGTTTTATGCCTCAGGCTGAATTTGAGCAAGACATGTTAATTTGGCTCTTCCTTTAATTTATTTCATTAATATATATTTTGTATGGAATCAACAGATGAATTGTTCATTGAATTATTATCCAAAAGCAAACTTCTTAGCACTTCATAAAAACAACAGAAAAAAAACTTCTGTTGTTTTATGTAGTCTTATTTCCAATATTGAAACTGTTCTGTTAAAATTATTTGCTTTATTGAAAGAAAATTTAGAAGTAAATGTCTGGATAAAAGGTTAAAAATTAAATCCTCTCATCACCAGGGCTTAATTTCTAAAATTAGAAGTGCCGGAGCCTTATGGAAGGCAGTCAGCAAAGAGGAACAGAAATAAATAAATGAATAAAATGACTATTAAAATCATTAATAATTTTATTAAATAGTTAATTATCATCAAATTAATGAATAATTATCTAATTAAATATAAATTATTATTTAATTAAATAAATAATTATTATTATTTATTTAAATGATTAAAGATTAAAGTAATAATAAAATGTAAAAAGATAAACTAAAATTTAATAAGCGATTTTAATACAATTTTATTGCAAAAAGTAAAATTTTCGAGATCGTATTTCTACCGAAATTGTTGTTTACTTATATAAAAGAAGTGCCTGAGCCTTCTTATTTAGGGCTGCGATGCGCTCCGCCAAGAATTATGATTTATACCAAAAACTAAGAAGTGCTGGAGCTGGGCTCCGGCACAATTTAAGCTCTGCTGACACCTTTCGTTAATATCTGGCACGTCGTATATGTTTTTATAAGCACAATAAATTCGTACATGCTGGAAAATTTTTCTTAACATGTTAAGACTTCCAGGTGTTCATAAAAAGTGATTAGACTTAAAAATACTTTTTTTTTTCTTAAGTAGAAAATTGATTTGTAAGCTGATGCTCAGTTTTTGACACATGTTCTTGAATAAAAAGTGCTCAAATGCTCATGCGGTAATTGTGAGGTTATATTTCACCTTATGTACATATACAAAAAATACTACTAATTTTCGTAGGATAAACATGGGTTTTTAATTTTAAAATGTTTTAACAGCATGAAATTTTAACAAAATTTATTTTAAAACTTCCAAAAAAGAGAGATAAAAATTAAATTGTGCATGTCTTAAATAAAATATTAACTCTGGAGTGTGGTATGAAATGGTATTCAAAGTATCATAACTGTTCACTGCAGCATAGTTGTTTAATCCTTTGGCAGAATTTTGTCACTGAATCTCTATTACATGTAGTATCCAAGGGCAACTGGAAATGATTCTGTTTATTTTATGACATTTATTATGGTCATTCTTCTTCACAAAACTGCAGAAAGTTGGAGCTTATTTTTCAAAAGGAAGCTAAGCTCATATCAGAACTTTTAACAACTTTGTAATTCAGTTCATTGTCATTTGTTGAAATTAATTTTTTTAAAAAAGCAGTTTTTTTCCCATATTTCCTTGGCACCAGGTACTGTGAAATTGGTTTATCTTTTTCCTGATAATAATTGTCTTTATGACCATCACTGGCATGGCCATGTTTTTTATATAATTAGGTTATTTTCTCCTCTTTCTTTCATTTACAAAGGTATCCACAGTTTGGAATTTCTTGAGATGAAGTAGATATCTTATTTCTTCAAAATTGAGTGTTCTTCATTAAAAAAAATTGTGTTGTAATCTTATGTGACTCTGAGCTGAAATGGCTATGCTGCCTTTGGCCCACCAGTGGCTGAGCGGTAAAGTCGCTGAACACTGGTAGTTCGGTCCGAGGTTCGAATCCCGTGAACAGGCTGGCTGCATGGGTGTTTTCGGGGTTTTCCCCATGTGTAACGTGTATACGAGCCAGTTCCCCTTAGAAAGTCCTCCACAAAGGCATCCCTCCCCTTAGGGAGATAGTCCTCGAGGCTTTGCCGTAATTAAATAACGTAACCTAATCTATATTGCCTTTGTTTATGAGAAAATAATAGTGCTCAAACACTGTTTGTTGGACCACACATTCTTTTGTTGCTGTCGTACGATTCGTTTACGTGAGTTGTCAGGAGTTAATGTTACTCACTTCTGAAAACAAAAGCTTGCGTCGAATGAATTACAGCATAATGTTTGGTGGGAATAATTACCTAAGTGTGGCATGTAACAATTTGTTATCCTGTCTTAATGTTAAAATGGACACTTCAAATTTGCTTAAATTAATCAAAACTTTTCCATGAAAAGAAAAATGATGGATATTATGTTCTTCCACCACTGCGGGCTTTTGAAGGGCTTCATCATGAAATTAAAGAATGTTCAGTGTTGTTGCTCCCAATTTTTCATTCTGCTAGTTATTGAGCTGAAGATGTGGGAAAAGAAATAAGCCAAAATGCACCAATGTGGTGCCAAAAGTAATTGGTATAGTTTAGTAGAAAAGTACTTTTTTTTTTATTTATTCAAATCTGTTTCATTATTTTATAAATGTTTGCCAAATTTTCACTTTTTTGTCACTGCTTTGGGAGTTGAATTACTGCTGAAATATGACGTGAGGAAAATCTGTAATATAAAGAAGTTTTCTGCTTAATTATATAGTACCTGTAAATCTATTCATTAAATTTGGTTGGTTTCTGCAAGTTAATTTTTAAGAGTATTGCTTAAAAAAAAAGGTTTTTTCCAAAAGAAAAGTCAGCTTTAGCGTGCTAGTTGGGACAAGTACTGCTTTGCAGACAGGATTTATTTGTGTTATGTTAAATGAAAATCATTCTATTGAGTTAGGTCATTTGCACACATAGTAATTGCATAAATTCTGTTATGAAATTACTGAAAGAACTCATTGCATAGTATGAGTGAGATCAATAGTGCATTTTAAACTATTAAGCATAATAAGAAAGGGAACTTTGTGCAATACACTCAAGCATTGATTTCATATGCCTTTTATCTCTGAGATGTTTGCAGTGTCAATGTACTTAGTCCTTTGTACATTTGAAACTAAAGCTTCTTTTTAAAAATAAAAATTAATTCTTAAAGAAAATGTAGTTGATCATTTAAAAAATAATGGAGCAAAATATTTCACTATAAAATGTAGAAAATTTTAACAGGAATTTAAAAATTAAAAATAAGCAAAATATATAGTACAGTCAAAAGTCGTTAACCCGGACTCGTCGGGACTTCGGCGATTCCGGATTATCGATTTTTCCGGATTATAGATCATCAGTTTAAATCTGGTAAGATGGCATGCAGAAATTACAAAATTAAAAATATGAAACCGTAATTTATAAAATAAAGAACAATTATGATCTAAAGGCTATCAAAATTTACAAAAAGAAGCTTAATATTTATTTGTTTACTTTATTAAACATTTCTTTCAACGCGCGCATGCGTAAAGCATAATCGAAATTAGAAAATTGCAACCAGAAAACTATTTGATGTGTATTCATGATATTTATAATGACGAGGAATTTGATTTAAATCATATCAAAGACGGAATATATCGAGATGAACTACTACATTTAGTAAGGAATTATAAGCTGAATAAAATAAAAACATCTGCCCTGAAGATAAGGATAGTGCTGACAGATGAACTTCCAGTTCATTGCGCGCTGCGATGTCCCCCCCCCCGCAAAGCAGCGTGAAATTGATAAACAGATATCGGAATGGTTAAGAAACAAAGGATATGCCTTTATCCATTTTTTGCAGCAGTTCCACTTTTTGTTTAATGGACTTGGAAACATACTTTCGCTTTGTAGATCCTTTACATATTAGTAAATATATATCGGAAATTCTATTTGACATAATCGAAAGTTCAAGCTTACTTTTATAAAATTGCTCTAACAGTCTGCAAGAAATAATAAGCCGGATCCATTTCGAAGATTAAGGAACAACGCAATCTGCAACATTAACTGAATTAGATAATGTTAGCTTAGCTTATACCGTCCGTATATACATTAAACGCGCATGCGTAAACGTATTATGCGCATGCGCACACGCAAGTTCGCAGTCGTAAAGGTCTTACGCGCGTGCGTAAACGCGAGGCATGCACA